TAGATGTCTCCAAAGGGCTGCAACTAATTGTTTATCGTCAGTTTATGATTGAATTTACTTGTCAAAAATGATCTCAGTTATCCATCATAATTTACAGCAAACCGAAAGTGATCTCTGCAAATAGTTTATTATGTAATAGCAAAAAGAAGATATTAGGTTTTCAATGGTATGAAGCAGAAAAAGATGCCAGTTTGTTTATTTACAGTTTTTTGGTTATTATACATTGTAAAAATTACTAAAAGGGCCACTCCACCAATTTCATACATGAAGCTCAGCTTACTGTATGTAGTCATAAGGAGCATTCCTCAGTCTCTGAAAACAGTAGTGTAACGTCTTCTGTGGCTCTGAAGGGACCTTCCCAGAGTTTAAATAAAAGAATAATAGTAATGATGTCATCAATGGTCCTTGGCTTGTCTTTGATATCTTAAATTGTTAACCGAAAAACCTGTGTTATAAACTGAAGGTGTGGGGTTTCAAAGAAGAGGGCATTTGGGAGGTAGAGGGGGACTAATGCAAGATGCTGCAGAGTTACTGCACATCATGGAAGTGTAGGATACAATGTTTGTGAGCTTTTCCCATACTAGAGAGTAAAAGTCAGGATTGCATCAGCCCGTCCAATTTAATCTCTTGTGAGTCCCCTAACTTTATGGAAGTGTAACTCTAAATCACTGGAGTACTTTTAACAACGAACCAGGAATTAAAATAATCATAAATTAACTTATCATGTTGCAACAACATGCAGTCACTGCGTCGCTTTTATTTATTAACATCTTATTTCAGTGAGTCATCTGTTAATGGAAACTGTGTTTACTGCCTGTCAAAATCAATGTGCTTTGATTCTGTGAAGGATTAAAAAGAAAGAAAAAAAATCTATTCCACAGGCTTATACGACAGTCCCCCAGGAACTGATGATGCCAAGCTCATTGATATATTCTATCCTGGAGACCAGCAGTCAATCACGTATGGCACTAAGTCCAGAGTCGGCATTGGCGGCATGGAAGCCAAGGTCAGCATGACAGTTGATATTTTATCTGAAAGTGTAAACAAGACTGTGCTGTGGCTGTATGATGAAAAAGTTGCATTATACTCAATCATGCTCTATGACTCAGGTGAAAGCAGCCCTCTGGGCACTACAGGGTGGGACGTCTGTTGTCATCGCCAATGGCACACACCCTAAAGTTACAGGCCATGTCATCACAGACATTGTGGAAGGGAAGAAAGTTGGCACCTTCTTCTCTGAAGTGAAACCTGCAGGTACTGAGTTAAACCGCCCGGTGAGAATATTTTACCCACTTGTTGTGTTTGTGTTTGTGTTTTTGTATTTGATGTGTGTATTACTGACATCACCAGGTCCGACTGTGGAGCAGCAGACAGAGATGGCCCGGCACGCAGGCAGGGCTCTGGCCTCCCTGGACCCTGAACAGGTACGTTTTTTGCTCTCTCAGTGTGGTCTGGTTTTAAATTTAAATTAGCTCTCTGATTTAGATTAGATTTTCTCATGGGGTCCAATTTTTTGGGGGTTGATTGTGGTAGAAACCAACAGTATATCTCATCACTGACACAGTAGAATGGCATTTGTTGCTATGTATTTAGCACTAATATATATAGAGATTTCGAAATGAATTTAAACGACAAGATTACAATAGAGAGAGAGGATCTCTTGGTTAGCACTCAGCAAACATAATAAATCAAAAACCTATCAACACAAAAATAGTGAATCATTTTCACAACAGGATGCAGGGGCCAAACTCATTAAGTTTTACATTGCACTGGCAGCAGCTTTAATTACTTTTGATTGTGGTTTTGTTAATTATATTGTGGTCTGTGTGTGTTTTCCAGAGAGGGGAGATCATCTGCTCTCTTGCTGAGCTGCTCACAGAGAAGAAAGATGAGATTCTCAGTGCCAACAAGAAAGACATGGAGTTAGCAATAACATCAGGTACAGAGGCACAGAGGAGACACACTCATCACCTTTAATCCACAGCTGCATGTGATCATCTGACTCAGATGCAATGGATCACTCATCTGCAGCACTTCCACATAGGGAAATTGGTGTATGAAGACGGCTTGTCAGCACTGATTGACATTTATGTTAGCTTTGGTATGCATCAGCCATGTTGTCAATAAGTAACATATAAGTTTGACAGGTGTCACTGCATGCCCTGTTTTGTAGGGCAGCATAGCGCAGTGAGTTGGGAGACTGCTCTTTAAGTGGATGAACAAAGTTACCACTCCTGCTGTATAATGCCTCAGCTAATTATTTATTATTGCATTATCAGTGTATTTATTCATTTTATTCTAATTCCTCACAGGTCGTCTCTCCCAGCCTCTGATTGACCGCCTGAGTCTGTCAACATCTAAGCTAAACAGCCTTGCTATTGGCCTCCGTCAGCTCGCTGTGTCCTCCAGGGATAGCGTGGGTCGTGTGCTGAGGAGGACCAGGGTGGCCAACAACCTAGAGCTGGAACAGATCACTGTCCCCATCGGTGTCTTGCTGGTCATCTTCGAGTCACGTCCTGATTGTCTCCCACAGGTTGCTCAGCCTTTAGAATTAATCACCATTAGCTGCTCATCTAGCAGACTTTGTACATCTTCATCATTGAAAGTTGATTTCAAATGTTCATGTATTTAATGTTGTTTTTCAGGTGTCAGCTCTGGCTATTGCCAGTGGGAATGCTTTGCTACTGAAGGGCGGTAAAGAAGCTTCCAACACCAATAGAATTCTGCACCAGCTCACTCAGGAAGCACTTTCCATTCATGGAGTGACGGATGCCATTCAGCTGGTAAAACTTAAAAGATTCATTAATGAAAACCCAGTGTGCAGAGTGTTAGTTCTGTGACATAATGAAATTTGTTTGGATGTGTAGGTGAGCACACGTGAAGAAGTGGAGGATCTGTGCAGGCTTGACAAGATGATCGACCTGATCATTCCAAGGGGCTCGTCCCAGCTTGTACGGGACATCCAAAGGGCAGCTAAGGGGATTCCCGTACTGGGCCACAGCGAGGGTGTCTGTCACGTCTACATAGACAGCGACGCCAGCATAGACAAAGCTATTGATGTTGGTATGTGGTTCTTGTGTGTAGCTGTTGTTTCGTGATGTTTCCACTTCGGCTATGGTTTTGTCACAGTGTTTTTCAAGTTGAAAAACTGGAGAAAAAAATCTTGTTACCATATTTTACATGTTGCCCAATAGTTTTTGGTTATTACCTTGTTGGGGTAGCACAGAACTCCTGAAGTAATATGAATGTTCTAATGTTTCATTCCAGTCAGAGACTCCAAATGTGACTACCCTGCAGCCTGCAATGCCATGGAGACCCTTCTTATTCACAGAGATTTGCTGCGAACCCCCATATTTGACCAGATCATTGATATGCTGAGAACAGAACATGTAAGAAACATGCACCAACACTCCATAACTAATATTACACACAGCATTAAAATATATAGCTATGTGTTTTTTACATTTTGATGAAGGTTTGGCATTTAATTCAGTTCAGTGAACCGCACTTGTTTTTATTTTTGACTGATTATTTCATAGTTGTGTTGATAAATTGGCCATTACTTTCTCCCAGGTGAAGATCCATGCAGGCCCCCGGTTTGCATCCTACCTAACATTCAGCCCATCTGAGGTGAAGTCTCTGAGGACAGAGTATGGGGACCTGGAGTGCTGCATTGAGGTGGTAGACAGCATGCAGGACGCTGTGGACCACATCCACAAATACGGCAGCTCCCACACTGATGTCATTATTACAGAAAACGAGGAGACAGCTGAACAGTTTTTGCAGCAGGTAGACAGCGCCTGTGTGTTCTGGAACTCCAGCTCTCGCTTTGCCGATGGCTACCGCTTTGGCCTAGGTGTGTACACTATCACTCATTGTTTTACTTCTGAGTGCCATCTAAGTAAAACTATGAGAATATACATTTTTTTTGTAATTAGATCTAACCTATTGCTGTCTTGAAAATGAGGCAGAAGAGTTGATTTTACGGTACTTATTTTTCAGGAGCTGAGGTTGGCATCAGTACAGCAAGGATACATGCCAGAGGTCCAGTGGGTCTAGAGGGGCTTCTGACCACCAAATGGGTACTGCGAGGGGAAGGGCACACTGTGGCTGACTTCTCGGAGCAAGGCAGTATGAAATACCTTCATGAAAACATCCCTATCCCGCAGGGGGGCTTTAGTTAGGTGTCTAACCAATCATCAACAGGAGTCAAGATAACTGATGTCTACCCAGAGTTTATTTCAAGGTTTGTGTCTGCCAGTAGCGCTTCAACTTTATAGCTGCTGCTTCATCATCTCTGCAAATCCACTATGTAGGTGAGAAAACTTGCATGCAGGACAGAGGCCACTTTAACTGGACAAACAAGTTCCTGGTTTCGTGAACATGTGCATAAACCTGTGGATCAGTTGTTTACATAAATACCAATCTCCTGAGACAATGACAAATTTTTACATGACTGGTGGGAGGGAAATGTATCCCAGTAAAAAGAAAATAGAAAAAAAATTCCATTATGTATATGCGACAGTGTGTCAGGTGAAACATGGTATACACAGACAAAGCTGTTTCCTCTGTAAGGTCATTTTTATAGTGACAGAATGAAATCATTGGCCCACCTGTGATTTTCTAACTTATTTTTCTACATACAAACTGTCCCTTGGCCTTTTTGTAATTTACTGTAAGTGTTGTTTGTGCAGGATCTTGGCTCAGATTTATTTTGCTGTCCTCTCTCTTTGCACAGATGATTTAATAAATATGCTGTACAGTTCTCTACTCATGAATCTGTGCTTTTTCTATCACAACCTTCATGCAAATACTAACGCAAATAGTGTATATAGGTGTCAGACGATGTTCTAATCTTAAATACTTGCTACCCTTTCACTTATTTGCAAGGGGAACAGAATGTAAACACTGGTTCATTTCCTTCATCAAAGTTCAGACAGGGCTGGAGCTCCCACTTGTCTTCAACGCAGCACTTGTGACGTAAGCGGTGTGGGCGGGGCTTGTCATCCAGCAGTACTTGCCCTGACACACCGGGCAAGCTCTACTGTCATCTGACTCGATGTTAAAGATGGCAGGAAACAAGTCCTACACTATAGTTGAATATTTCGGCGGGGATTGCGGCTACCGCTGTGGCTACTGTAAAAATGATGAAGGGAACTTTTCACATGGTAAGTGTCTAATAAAGTAGCGAGCAAACATAGCTAGTCGGTATCGCTGAAGTGGCTTATGCTAACGACCTAGCCCCGTCTACTTGCTGGAATAGTGACGTTAACCGGTAATGAGAAAGAGCTAGTTAATGTCGAAACTGTAATTATAATGCCAGTAAATGTGTGTCAGTTATGTTATATGTGATGTGCTTACACTGCAAGACCAATATAAAACATTTAACTCAGTGTACACATAGGTAAGCGTTCATTTAACGTTAACGTTGCTTGGATGGTGTCAGGTTATTAGCTAACTCAGTTTTTAGCCCTTAGCATCTTACAGCCCAACTCTTTTATCTTGGGAAATAAACCAAGACTGGCATAGAATAACATGAGGTACTGAAATACTATTACTACTGAACTGCCATTCAGCTGGGCAATAATGTTGACTCAAGACAACACTGTAACATTAGCAACTTAGCAGTGGACTTGTTACAGCTCTGCTAGCATCAAGCTAGCTAAGGAACAGTAAGCAGAGCAGAGCAGGACAGGGGACCAGGGATGTTGTCTTCATCAGAGAAAGTGCAGCTGTCTGGCTTTCGTTTGGTCTGTCAGTGCTGTGACACTGGAACTGGAGGCCTTGCGTGTCAGGAAAATGACTAGCAGACATGTTATCGTGTTTTTACATATTCAGCCGTGGAGAGCTCAGATCTGATGGTCAGAAAGAGTACAGGGTTGATGGGTTTAAAGCTCCAAGTCGCATAATATGATAACGGTGAGTGGACTGCTGCAATAACATAAACATGGGAGTAAACATGACACAGATTTCACAACATGCTTAAACAGAAGGCTGCGTGTTTACTCTATATGTACTCTATGTAATCTCAGCAAATTGAGCTTCTTTGTTTGTGTTACAGCAGCAGTATCATCTGAGATGAAAGCATTGTGGTACAAAGAATTAGGCTACTCATTCATTTTTTTTTATTGTGTGGTTAAATTGAATGCTTGAGTGCTTATGTTCTTTGTTCACTTAAAGGAGATGAGAAACCACTCCATCCAGCTGCACTGGAAATCCTCTCTCCCTGATCTAGTTGTGATTGGGGGCCTAGGCTCACTTCCCAATGAAACCTGAAATGATTTATATAATATGATAAATGTACAAAAACAAGGGCACAAAACAGCCAGTAGATTGAGCATTTAATTCTGTGGGTTTATATTGATATTTTCTCCTATTTCTAACAGTGTCTAATTTTCATATATCATGCCTCCATGTCTTACTTAGCACTATCACTTCAAATGCCGGATCAAAAACTAGGTGGAAACAACAAAATTGTTTGATTACGCAAATGTCAGACTGTCAGAATCACATAACGATGTATTTTTGTCCAGTGACCAGTGGTAAACTAGCCTAGTAAAACTGTGAAAGCTCTCAGACTATATTTTGCAGCCACAAACCAGGAAGTAGCTAGTCCACCCACTGCCTGCTGTGTAACTGGATACTTGGTGGAAAATAAAGAAAGCTTGTATATAAGGTTAATTGTAGTTAATGATATGGTTTCATGAGCCCACAAGAATCCTTAAGAGTTTTTTTCCCCATTAATCTGTTCACAGGAAGGGTGACACAGTCCACACAGTCACATGCAGTTACGATTTATAAACATCCTGTACAAGACAGCTGAGCAGAGCTTAAAGGGACCTAAAAGATGCCGTACTGTATGTTGTGTCGAGAGGCTTTCATTTAAAGGCAACCAAGGTCAATATAACTCTGCATTTTTAAAACTTCTAAATTTGACACTGAGCTATAAAAATCTTAATAAGACGATGGGAAGGGATTTTCTGTGTGGGACAGAATGGTGTCATACAGAGTAGGTGAACAGGAGTGAGACAGTTGGACTATAATTAGGGTTCAGAGAGTTCTTAATGCAGTCAATGAGCGATTGGGCTCAGAGCCAGCAGACGAGAGCTGTTGTCTAATCTAAGATAAGAGAGGTAATCTGGATATGTTACGTCATGGGGGCAAGTTAGGTGTGGGGAAGAAGGGAGCCTGTACTCCCAGTGTGTTTCTTGGAAGTCGTGTAGTGTTAAAAGGTTAGGCTCCAGGTTCCTTGTGTGGATACAGGTTAAATGACAGTGCACTAGACTTACAACTGTAGAAGTCAACCCATTATTTCAAACCAGTAGATTATTTTTAAGCTGCAGTGAAGAATACACTCCTAATTTTCTGGTTGTTCTTCCACTATAATTAGTTGTGTTATTGTCTTACTGTAGCGCTTGTATTTTTCTGGGATGACACACTAAACAGATTTTCAGATATCTGGCTGTTGAGTGTGTATGTATTGTAAACATTTCCAAGCAGGTACTCAGCGAGATAATGTTTTCCTCTATGTGATTGGTGCAGTGATGTTATCAACAGTGTTGTTACATGCAAAGCAAATGCAGCCCCACAACACAGAGCCCAACATCTGCCCTGCTCTGTGTTACTGTCATGCCTCAGGGAAGCTGAAAAATGGATCTGGTGTGAACAATGGAGAGGCACTCCCATTGTGACATAATGATAGAAGGTGTTGCACTCACACAAAAGCTGACATGGCATGATTGATTAGTACTCATCACCTTTTTAAACTTCAGACTTTCTGGCCTGACTAATCAACAGGCTTTTTCTCAGACAGGTTTGTGGAGTTTGTGCCATTCACTTCTCCCTGCTCTGTCCTCCCCCAAATCCACGAGCTCTTGAAAGTTTTTATGATGTTGATCACTTGATATGAAAAGACATCATTTGAATAGTTAGACTTCATTTGACTAGTCATTGTTTTATTGTGGATGTTTGTATTATATGTTATATTTGTTGCATTTTAAATGTGTTTTGATTGGCTGCTACCTTAGCCAGGTCTCTCTTGTAAAAGAGATTTTCAATCTCAATTGGACTTTCTGGTTAAGTTAAGGTTAAATTTTTTTTTTTTTTTCATTCTTTCTTGATACTAAGTTTGGCTCATTCTTAATGCTTTTAAAAACAAAATTCTGAAATTAGCATTTCATACGCAAAGTCATATGACAACTTGACAGCTCTGTAATTGCTGAGATCCTGAGAATTCTGGGACTTAAAATTGGGGTCATGGAGCAGGAGCCCCTGAGAGATTTTACTTTAAGTGTATGTATTATGAGGCCATAAATGTGTGGTATTTAAACACAACTCCCAGAGGATCTTAAAGAAGTATTTCACAGCTGGAAAGATGGGCTTTCATAAAACTGAACTGTCCATGCAATAGAAAGACGCAAATACTTTTGACATTGATGCAACACAACCATAGAAAAAGGGGTGTGGCATTTGCTTTAGAGGTAGAAACCCAACAACTATCAAAATGCACTACGCAGCACCGGACCTATTAGCATTCCCACAGGTGGATGAATTAATGCAAGCTGCCTGTCGGAAAACAATATGGAGGCAGGCAGGTAACTAATTCCATATTACAGTTAAACAGTATGCTAAAATAAGTTATTTCAGCCTCCTTTATTATAATACAGGAAACAGTATGGCACCCATTTCCTGTTCACAAACTCTTGTATTACAGCTAGACAGTGCCATAAAATATGATTCTGAAAACATTTTAGGAGAGAAATAGTCAGAGCAGTAACAGAGGGTGCGTTCTGAATTGCATACTTTTTCTTTTTACTTTTAGTATGTACTGCAGCTTCCTTTAAAAAGTATGTACTGTTGCATGCAGTATGCTCACAATTTGGACATACGGCTGTCTCATAACACTACGCCCTGAACTTTGAAATATATTTATTACCTTGGAGATAAAACAAAATGCTGTTCACCTATAGCTCGTTGGAATTGGAGGTCAACCCAGAGAGATCTGCTGTTGTTATTTTGCAATGTGTATAGTTTTAGCTTTAAAGTTACAACTGTATACAAGGTAGATTCAAACATATTATATTCACCCTAGTAAAATTAAATATGCATTTTTCTGTCATTGTTATTTTTATAGTTATGTCCTTTTGTTGTTGGTTGTTTTTACGATTATTTTGTTAATTTAAACAAAGAATATTCCTATTACTACTATTCAACAGGCCATCACTTAGTTGAATTTAGCTGTTAGCAGTCATTGTAGCTTCTGAGAGCTGTCAGTCAGCTTTTAACGAGCTGTCAAGCTGTCAGTCATCTGTCAGTCGGTGAGATGTATTGTCCGCTGCACAGAGGATTATAGGCCAGAATAGCCAGAAAAGCATGCTGGCTTGCATACTGCAAAATCAGACTGGATGTAGTAGAACATCCTGGTGTTTTTGGCATACTGCATTTGACACACTATGTACTGGGACATACTAAATATTTTTTCTGGCATATTAAATAGTATTGTAGGGTGGGTATTGGAACATACAGAGTCTTGGTTCATGTTTCATTAGCACTGCCTGGTTTTAGCCTTTGATCTGAGTTTGAGAGCCAGAGGGGCGTCTCTGTCTCTTGATCTGTTTCTATACTCTTGTGTCTGCTGTGGTAGCAGGCATACAAAAATAAGGAAATACAATCTGTAGTTCAAGTAGCAGCCCTAGAGTCAGCAAAAATCCTCAGTTTTGCATCATGTGGTGGATTTTCATTAGCAGGGAGATCTGGGACTCACGTTGTTATGACACAAACCTGATTGAAAATTGGAGTATCCCTTTTAAATTAGTATTTTAGTCTCACTGTTGTACATGGCTGTGTTTTTACTGAAAAATACAAGAAGGCTTCCTGTCATTCGTTAGGGGTTTTTCTGTTCTGTGTCATCAGTTGTGGAATGACACCTTTACCGTTTGCATTTTTAATGCAAGTGGAACCTACGCAATATTCTATTTCATCTCTATAAATACATCAGCATTTTGCCGGTGAAAAACTTGCACAAGACGCAAATACTCTTAATGTCATGAATGCGGCACTGTGAGTAGTTGCACCACTGACAACGATTTGGAAAAACAGTGTACGTAAGACCAAAGATTTTGACATACTCTGATGGTCAGATATATTATTTATTATGGTCATTATATCTGATCTTTAATGGAAGTATTTTTTAAAGACAACCTGCAGTCTTGCTGCTGTGTCTTAGAACTAGCTCCAGTCATTTACTGTTGCTCTGTTGAATCGCTCTGTGTCATCTCCTAATCTCTGTGGACACCATTCTCCTGGGACACAGAACATTATACGCAGTTTCAAACAGTGTGTGTTGTGTGAACTGTTATACAGTGAATTCCCTCAGTTGTCTTAGATGTAAACTGATAGTAGTCCTGTCGTTGAGACTTAGTGTCTGGTGTGCGTGTGTATTTGCATGTGCAAACTGTGTATTTGGTTGCAGAGGAGAAGGTCAGGAGTTGAAATGGGGAGCTCAGACCTCAGTTCTGGGAAGTAGGATCCAAGCTGCTGTGAACACAAATAATATATTTGTACGTTACCATTGGGGACTATGGGAATGAACTTGTGGGGACTCTGTGATTAAAGATGAAACAAAACTGCGGATGTCCACCAGACTCTGTGAGCAGCTTTTTGTCAAACCACTCCTGACTTTCACACATGCCTCCTTTTTCAGATGAAGACAATTATACCTTTAAGTGTCTCTTTTATGCTTTAATTAAACTTTATTTCATTCAGCAGAGCTATTCGAAACCCTGTTCTGCCTAATTCTGATATAATTTTCTTCAAGTTAGGCATGATACAGCGTGCTCTGATGAATATTTGAGAAGTACAAAGTAAAATCATATGGAATATATTAAATATTTAAAAGTTATAAGTAGGGCTGGGTGATATGGAGTGATTGTTTTTTACTAAATACCTCAATATCGATATTGCAACAATATTATAGGGTTGACTAATGGTGCTTTCACAGATATTTTCACAATGAGATTTCTGATAAATAGTCATATGTAATGTGAATATAATGACTAAGTGGGTAAAGACAAATAATAGAACAGCTAGAACTGTCTGGTAAGTTCAGAAAATGACATCACTTTACTGTAATGCAGCCTTTAAAACCAGGAAAAGACAACACTTCTCTAGTCTCATATCATGATATCAGTATAATAACGATATATCGCTCAGCCCTAATCATGATGTACCTTTTGTTTTCTACAGGTATGTGGTCTCACACCATGACAGTACAAGACTACCAAGACCTCATAGACCGAGGATGGAGAAGGTGAGTAGTTGTCACTGCCTATATGCAATCATATTTACCTACTTTATGAACCTTTGGAATTTTCTCATTAATATATTCTAAACAATATAATTGTGTGTATTTTAAGTTATTGATAATGTGTTTTAGTGAAGGTTATCCATTGTTTTCCTTCTCCAGAAGTGGGAAATATGTCTATAAGCCCAAAATGAACAAGACATGCTGTCCACAGTATACCATCAGGTAATTTCAGATTTTCTTTCCTATAATTCAGTTAACTTCTTCAGAACTGACAAGACCAGAAAGAACATGGAAGACACGAGGATGACCCATGCTAGTTTGATAGAGATATTAAATCACCTATTTAATATGTGTATAACAGAGGAAATATATCCAAATATATGTTGCTCTAACCAAACCTTTACCTTTGTGCTGTCTGCCAAGATGTCATGCACTGAAATTCCAGCCTTCCAAATCCCACAAGAAAATCCTGAAAAAGCTGAACAAATTTATTTCCAAAGGGGAACTGCCAAAAGTACAGGATGATGGTGAGTATATTTATTTTTTTGTAATAGTTATCATTGCATATATGTTGTCTGATATACTGTATTGGTATACCATACATGCATGAAAAAAATGGAAAAAGCAGCAGCAGTCAACACTAATGGATTATTGGACTGCATATGCATCAGAGTGCATAGCTGGAACAACAGTAAGAGATGGGCACAAATTTAAAAGAGTGTTGGCACCGTGGCTCTGAAGTACACGTTATCTGGTGTAAGCAGGTTTGTGCCTTTGCAGGGGAGCCAATGGACTCAGTGTGTGAAGAAACAGGTCCACGGGAACCGAGTAAAGTCTGTCACTCAGATGTGAAGTGTGCTGCTATCACAGACATTCAGAAGGAGCTACCAGAGTGTCCCGCTATCACAGAAGTTCAGAAGGAGGTAGAGGATGCTGTACCTGCTGACTCGGAAACATCAAGAAGGGATCAAGTGTCTAGCCAAGATGAGAGAACAACAGCGACAGCTCCTAAACCAGGTGAGAAATCGGATTCCCTTTCAAAGCTGGTAATACTCATCAATGATCAGTGTTGTTTTTGCTGTTACTGAGAAAATAGTAATAAAATACTAGTAACTGATTAGTAATGTACTTACAATGTATTATCTGTTATTATTATTTTCCTTCTATGACCAGAAGCTTTTTTCCCCTCATGAACAGAAACCATGATCCAGCTGCAATGATTAGTCAATTTATTGATTTAAAAAAATCTGCAACTCTTTAGACATTGACTTTATCTTTTCACTATTTTCTTCTGGTTAAAATGATAATTATTTGCAGGTTTTAGATTCTCAAATGTGTGATTTTCTTTTTCTTTTGTTATCTTTGGGTGTTAGACTGTTGGTCTAACACCCAAATCTAATGCAAATATTTCACCTTTTTTTAATTTTTTTTTTTTTTACATTTTATAGACCAAACAATAAATCAGTTATTCAAGGAAATAATCCACAAATTAATCAATTATGATAATCATCAGGTGTAATCTACATTAGTCAATGAACTTGGGTCGCTTTTGCCACATGTATGCTGGTTTATACAGCTTTAAATAAATACACAAAATACAAAATAAATTGTAAACCAATGCTGCGTTACCTTTATTTGATTTGTCTGATTTGATTTATTTATTTTGAACATTTAAAAAAAAAAGAAAATAAAATAGAATATATTGTAGAAGAAAACCCCTACAAAACAGAGACAAACAATAAATCATGAACAGACTTAGAATGAGAAACATAGATTAATATTTCATCCCCAAAAAGGAGTAGGAAAAAGCAACACGCTTGTCTAGCCCTACCCCCAATCCCAACTATATTAATCCATCACTAATCAGACTATTACATTAATAGACTCTCCTCACTATGGATCAACCACACATTAACGCCTCTGCACTTCTTAATACCTGATAACCAATATTACCCTGTGTATAAAACAAATACGAAAACACAAATTGAGAATACTGACAGCAGTATCACCCTGAGTGTGCTTTACATTCCCTCTAATCATTTCTGTACCTTGTGAAGATACTGTCTTTGTACCTCAATTTAAAGTATCTGATATCTTAAGTTTGTTTGATTTCTTCACCCAGTGCATTCCACATAATCACCCCACAAATTGATATACGCATACTTTCCAGAGTGGTGCGAAAAACAACGTTGTTCAAGATTTAATCTGCCTCTTAAATTATACCTCCCCTTCTCTGTCCACGAGCATTTTTTGCATGTTGCCAAGTAGTAAGTTGTTTCTTGCTTTGTTCATGACTTGAGCCGTTTTAAAATCCACCTGATCCATAAATTTGAGTTCATGTGAATTCAGAAACAGGTTATTAGTGTGCTCCTGTTATCCAACATTGTGTAAAATTCTTGAATTTGTGAAGATATTTATTTATTGATTGATTGGGTCTCACATTTGACAACAGTAAAGCTATATTAAAACATCCGTTTGCAAACCCTCATGTAACTCGTGCAGTATAATTCAAGTGTCATTTATCCGGTCGTATGCTCAACACTTCCCAAACACATGCATTTTCCTTTAAAAAAAACCTTTGTATCAGAGATTTGCATGTGTGTGGGAAGTACTGAGCATACGACTGGATAAATGAGACTTGAATTATACTGCATGAGTTGTGTGAGAGCTTGTAAGCTGATGTTTTGATATAGTTTTGTTGTTATTACATGTGGACATAGTAGTGTAGATGTAGATATTTAGTTGGAGCGTGTGTCAAAAGGCAAAAGAGTATTCTTACATGGGAATGCCAGTTGGTTATCTGCTTTTACTGTGGTTCTGCTGCACCTACCAAGCAGTTGTTTTGCTGCTGTTTCCTGTTTTATTAATTATTTTGGATGTGTGATATTCTTTGAAACTGCAATAGGGACAGCTTTAAAAGTAGTGATGGTAGCTCTAATGACCATTCACTACTATAGTTTGTTAGACTGCCACTGTGTGTTCCAAGATAGCTGAAGCACCATTGCTCACCAGAGTGTGTCACTGTTAACCTTGTAATAGACTCCACTGTGCAGCGGCTCAGTGAATGAGGCTGGTGTTTCATCTGTGTTTCCAGGAGTGTGTCTGCTTTTGGCTTATCTGTCATGTTCTCCTCCTTACTCTCCAGTACAGGATATCCTCGCAGCCAACTCACAGTAATGAATAAATAACACTCACAGTTAGGAGATAATAAACTCCTATTAGACACAGGAAGCAACACTTCTAACAACTGCTCATGTTTCAGGCCTCAACCACTCTTTCCCCTCTCAAAGGTCTAATGAGAACAGGACCCCACGCTCATTAATCATTAGGCAGGGACGTACATTGGAGCAGGAGAGCTTGGTGTTGGCACAAGTCGATCCAGTTGCAGACATAAACATACAGAGAACACTTTAAGCGGTGCCAGTGTCCTTCTGCTCTTACACCTGTGTCAGCACCACAGTCTGCTTCCTCAGACTGTCAGAAATAACACACCATTTCAGGAGGCAAGCAAGGAGGATTTACTGTGTTGGACCAGTGGTTCTCCACTCCCCCCTAATTCACCTCCAACAGAAAACACCTGGACATATCTTTCCTCTGGGTTTATGACTGGAGCGCTTTATAGCTTTGGGCAGGTTCCAGTTCTGGCTTGAGAAAACATGGCTCCCCATTTTCCATATAGTTTAAGCAAAGCCAGAGGTAAACAGATACAGAAGTACATGTGGAATGTTGTGCTTTGCAAAGCTGTCCTAGGATCTGCTTTTTAGGTAATCACAGGTAGTGACACTTGCTTATATGCAGTTGTATTCCATTTTGAAATTAAGCCTTTATTTAATTTTAGAAGACTGTGTAGTGTTGTCAAAAATATTGAATTATTTATAGTTATTTATTCTAAAAGTTTGAAAATTTTATTATACTAATTTTCCACAGTGTCGATACATCAGTACCAGCTGCTGTCTCTTATGTTTTTTTTTCTGTATTTTTTTTTTTTTTTTTTTTGGTCCAAAATTTGCTTTAAGTATGTTGTAAGTTGCAGCAGATCTTGCACAGACTGTAGCATAAAGTTAGCATAAAAACAAATTAGGTAACAGATTGAAGAATGTAATACAGCTCTACTTTTTTTAAGTGAGAAGTGTGAAGGCATGTTTAGCTAGCTAGCATTGGTAGCATGCTAGCTGTAACACAGTGCATGCACAGTGGATCGTGTGTGTTTTACAAAATATTTCACAAAACTGGCTCCACACCTGACAGGCCAACCTCCTCACGTATTTGTTGCCATGCATTATTGGTCCTGTGTTTGTCTGTGTAATGCTACATGGGCATCCGCCATATTGGACAGTGAAAAACACTTAAAATGACCTTAATCTGCCATTTCTGCAGTGGTGTTCCTCTCTATCTGTAAAGAGATACATTTCTTTGTCTAGGGCCGTACTACACAGAAAATTGGACACAAAACAGAACTGTGTGGAAATGAGGCCTGTTCTGTTCTTAGTTTTTCAGTGCAGAATTTGCCTCAAGTACGTTAATAACATTAAACTTTTGCAGCAGATTTCAGGCCCTAGATTTTAATCATAACTAGATATCTGATGGCAAAATGGCGCCTATTCATTCCAATGGAGTTGCTGATGTTATCACAGAATTTAAATCACTTTTCTTGGCTCCAGGAAAGCTTTACAAATATGCAGTTCGGCGTGTCAACAGTTTTAGATGTCTCTTTTTATAATGCTTGTCCATAGAGAAAATCATTTTTGGGCTGCAGGGGATAATTTCACTGCAATACCGCGAGTGGCCACTGGGAAAGATTTGCAGCAAGGCTGATCAGCGTCCCTGAGGGGCCTGTTTCAGACAGACCATATGCAGTGTCCCACAGATATTTAGCATACAACCAAATTAGCAACATATTAATGAATGTAATACAGCTTTATTTATGCATTTTTTCGAAGTGAAAAGTTTGACGGCATGTTTAGCTAGCTAACATTGTAAGCCTGCTAGCTGTATAACATATTGAGTGAATGCATAGTGCATGTGTCTTCAACAAAACACTTCACTAAACTGGCTGCACACCTGACTGGCTGTGGCATTTTTCTCTATCCATAAAGAGATGCATTTCCTTGCATTGAACATAGGGGCCTACTCTGTATATTTAAAAAAATATGGAGACAAAACAAGACTGTTTGGAAACAAGGGCAAGTTAGCGTTAATGTCATTTCCATAAAAAAATAGTGTTCATCACCGTGCCTTTGCAGATTATTGTATTAGCTGTGTGGTAGCATGATGGCTGATAAATGTGTTGGTTTGTAAGAAGCAGGAAGTAGTATATTGTAGTATGCAGTATCATGTGTTTTAAGCAGGCAGAATAAATAGTACAGACAGTACAGTTTCCCAGAGAGTATACTTTCTATAAAATGACAGTGCATACCTCCATCTAAATATTTTACTGGCTGCTCACAGATAACAGCATCCTCCTCCCACAGTAAATTAATTCACTGTCTCTACATGTTTACATGCAAGAAAGCAGTTATGTCACAGCTCCAGACAGTTTAGGCTGATTTTGAGAGTTGTATGTGTGTTTGGGGAAGCGGGGAGGGAGAGTGTCACAGTCTTTATGAAGTGCTAACTGCCGGAGAGGGAGCATGTGCCTTACACAGGAACTGATCTGTCAGACTTTATCTTCACCACTGCTGCATGCGCTGTCCTCAGGAGTACCTGTGTCTGTGTGTGAGAGATGGAGAGAAAGTGTGTGTGTAGTGAGAGTGTAATTAGAGGGAATGGAGGCATGTGGACAGAGTGATTGTGGATAAAGGTTGATGTGTTTGTGGTTGAGATGGTGTGATGAACACAGTTCAGTCTCTGTGTGACCAGTCTGTCTTGCTCTTGTCGTATTTACTCTAAAAGAGGAAAACCATTTCACCTCACTGTAACTCCCAGGGTTGTGTTTATATCAGAGGGCTTGCTCTGAAATACTTACTCCCTCTAGTACCTCCAGTCACTTACCATTAAAGACCAATACAGCAAACAGGGATGTTGAGAGGGTACAGGGACCAGGTAACTTTTTCACCTAGTAATCGGTAAAATTTGTGTAATAATATGAAACTAATTTTTCACACGAACATAGCAGTTAATGATCCAAAACTTAAGTCACAGGTGGATTTGTTACTAGAATGTTGAGCTGTTGTGTAGTCCTCAAGGTTTTAGTTTACCCTATACATTTGAAATAGCAGGTCATGGGTTTTAGATATATCACAAATAAGCCAGAATCTGCCTACACTTCCTGCTGTGGTCTATTTCAACAGAAGCTGTACCTTAAAGTAGAACATGTAGCTTGAGTCAGCTGAAGCTGAACGCTTCCAGTGAACCTTGGCCAGTGGCAGAGTTTCCCTCTCCCCCTGTCAGGACTGGGCGTCCCTCTCTTCCTTGTTACGTCGACACAGGGGAAAGTTAGTAAGTGAGCTGATGGTGGCGGCTGGCAATCGGACAAGCAGGAAATGGCTCTCGTTTCCTTATTGCTCCAAACAGGATGTGGGCGTGTAAACTGTTGACATGGGATGCCCGGAGAGCTGGAGGGCTTGGCAAGAGCCCAGGAGGAGGAGGTGGTGGGGGTGATGGTGGTGGTGGAGGAGGAGGAGCAGGAGAAGGATAAGGAGGGGGACATAGAGGGAAACAGAGATTCAGATTCATGGGCAAGAGAACGTTCATGTTAGTCTTGTTCAGAGAGGAAAACCGAGATAGTGTGTGAGTGTGTGTTCTGCTGGTAACAACCTCATTCATGTGTCCACACCAGCTAACTAAGATATGTTGTATCTTTGTCATTATAGTTATAAGATAAACAACTCCCTTGGTTTCATAATCTCTTCTGCTTCTCCTGTTCTGTTTTTAAATACACCCTAGCTAGCTGCTAATTGTTTGGGCTAGTAGATCATATTGTTTTATAGTCTCCCAAGCAATGATGTAATTTAGGGACTGTTGAGGCAGGGAAACAAGAAAATGACTTCCATGGGCCTCTCTGTTGAGACCGGCTTCTTAGGCAGGGGGTACAATAAAGTAAACATGGAAGCACATTTACCCAGAGGGGCAAAAATCCATTGGAAACAGGGTCTAACACTCACAAGATCTGCCCTAAATTTGAGAATCATTAATACCAGCAGCTTGAAGTTACCAGCTTTCTTACTTCTGTGTTAAGTCTTGAAGGGACAGTTCACCTCCAAATAAAAAAATAGATATTTTTAGTCTTCCCTGTCGTGCTACTTTTCAGTCTAGATTGTTTTGGTGGAGATATCAGCTGTAGAGATGTTTACCTTGTTTTAGATATAATGGGACAAATGGCACTTGACTTATGTTTGAAAAACTCAACAGCAATGTCTCTTTCTAGAAATCATGACAGGCCTTGTTGTGAGCAGTTTCAGGAACTGTTTTCTTTCTACTGAACTGCACCTGCCAACCATAACATTGCTCAGAAGGAAGTGTGTGTCTACTCATGGTGAGAGGCTTGTGCTCATCACAGCGTGAGATGTAAACATCAATGGTGTCCTCCTCAGCTGAGCTGTAACATTAGTTAGATCAGTGATGCTAGGTGAGCCAGCAGTAGATCCGTGCTCCCTCTTTGCACAGTGATATGGTTGGTAGGCTGAGATCAATAGAAGAAAATAGTTGCTACATGAAAGTGCTCACAACAAGGTTTGTGGATTGTCTTGAGTAAACTGGGTCATGATTTCTGGAAAGTGACATTGCTGTTGAGTTTTTCTAATTATTTGTTTGGAGCTTTGAGCATCACAAGCTGAGTGCCATCTAGTTCCATTGTATTAGAGAGGAGGCAGACATCTCTATGGCCGATATATTCAACACTCAGCAACTCGCATCAAAACAGTCCAGATTAATAAACAGCACTACAGGTAAGAGGAAAAATATGTACTTTCGATTTTGAGGTGAACTGTCACCTTTAAGTGTGAAGGCAGTATGAAACAAAAACTGTTATCCATATCCAAAAAGGAGTCACTGAGTTATTTCTTGTAATTCTGTATTTTTCTTCCATATTCTCACCTGGAAATGCTTTGAAAGTGCTCTGCTAACATCAATTAAAAATGGTGTTTTCATGGCACCCCACCTAACCAGCATCTTTGGGAAAGCTTTAACAACTCTTTCTCTTTTGTCTCTTTTCTCTGGGGTGCAGGGATTGGAGCTGATCCTGGCCGGCCGCCATGTCGGAAGGCCAAAGACTTAAGGAAGGAGCGACGTCTTCAGAAAGAGCAGGTTAGACAAAACGCTGATGGGGTCTCTCCCATTGTCTCTCCTACTCCACCTACTCCCGCCCAGACCAGCCAACCAAAGTCCCTGGAAGATTTTATCAATGAGTCATTGCCTGAAAATTGTTCTCATTGCCTTGAGGTGAGCAGAAATATAGTGTAGGTATGTTCTTTTCTCTTTTTATGTGACTTGGAATAAACCTTAGCCTATTGTTATGATTCCAGCTATCATTAAGAAATAGTGTTTTTGGTTGAGCTCTCTGTCTCCATAATGTTTGGATTCAGTTAACTTGAAAATTTGGTTTCATAGAGCCCTCTTCCTTAGCTCGAGTGACTTCACCATGTGTTTATGTGTGCGGAGAGGATAGCTGGCCAGAGCAGAGTGGAAAAACCACCTCTTCCCAGTTCGAATTCAACCAAATGACAGGCACACCACACAAACTGGGTCGCGTTACCCTGCTGATGACATTAAAACCACAGCTCCCAGCTCAGCCGGTATGAGAGGACATGGAAATGAACTTTTGGCAGGGGGCAAAACGATGTAGAAAGATCCCTGGCGAAGGCCTCAAGCTGAGGTTGGTAGAGTAACGTCATTGTTGGTCTTGACCAAGATTTGAGCCAGATGCAGTGATGAACCAGGCACTGTCTGTCTCTTGTTGACATACCCCCTGAGACTGGACCGGCAAGACCTCCTCCCTGTCAGCTCTTTCCAATTGGATTCATTTGTTTGCCTGCAATTATCGCTCCATTTCACTAAGTGGGCATGAACACAAGGCCATCCTTTGCGAAGGAAGGTTAATTATGTGTTTAACAAGTCAAATAATTGAGAGATGCCTCTATTTGACCCTTTTAGCTGTTACATGTGGCCAGGCTGCATCAGATTTGTGACTAAAGGACGATTTGGATGATAAGCAGCTGAGTGAATCTGATACTGAGTCTTGGGCATCTGTAGTGTTGACTAAGCTGCAGGCTTTATGAGGTTTTCACACCAGTACCAGAAGACAGATGTTCACACAGCATTTGAATTTATTGAAAGCTCATTTTTATCATAAGTACATCTGATATCAGGATATCACACCACTTGACTGGTGAGAATACTCTGCATTCTCTTGAAATATAGAGAGAAATTATTGCCCAAGGCTCACCTGTGATTAGTGCTCAGTTGACCATTCTCTCTTGCCATTATAGCTGTAGAATCTGGCATCGGCAATCTTGCAGGAGCTTATTACTTTAAAGTAATTTAAATGCATAGCAAAGTGATAAGTCACAGTGATGGGGAGAATGAGTTGGGATGTACTGTATGTGCAGGACTGGGGATAGTTACCTCACTCCTGGCTGTAAAACACCGCTGTGGTTCCAGCAACTACCACCAGGGGTCAGTGTGAGAACGTGCTTTAGAGCCCCTCAGGCACCTCAGGAAAGTGTGGAACTGTTCACCCAGTAATCCCTTCAAGAGTCTTCTTTGCTGTCTCCACACTTTGCTCATATTTAATAGCTGCTTTTTAATCTCCTATTGAAAATATGCTATGGTTCTTCTGCAATTAGATGTCTCCACTATTATATTACTTTATAGTGGTTTTCTGTAAGGTCTTGCAGATCCAGGTTCAGAGCAAGATATTTTTCTTTAAAGCTTCCATAAACCCCAGTCTTTAATTTGAAATAAAGTTAAACAAAAGCCACTGGTATTATGTGGCTTTATTTGAACACTTATTAAGTGGTCAGGTGTCAGATTTCAAGACTGTTATGAGAATTGCTAAAATTTCATTCCCATGCTGTCCACTAACTCCTGCAGTGTTGTTTCACCAAAAGCATTTCAGCCTATCAAAATATATCTCTTAATTTAGAGTGAAATGAAAAGGACCTAGCTTCAGCATTGTCCTTTCATGTAAGAGGCCCAGTGTCTCTGTTTGACTAAAGGATGTAGATGCCAAGTGGTCATATGAGAGAACCCCTCTTAGATCCAACTCAAACAAACCCCAGGTTCAATTCTTCTATCCTGTCCATCCTGGGGATTCATATGGCACAGCTTCTGTGGCCAACAAAAGCGTCCAAACGAAGAGACAGTTAATTAAATGGGGCCGAAGGATGAAGAAGTTGAATTTTTCTCTTAGTTTGTGCGACAGTTTTCTTTTCCACACGTCTCTCTATCACAGGCTTCTCGTGATTCTCCCTGTTAAGATTGATTTACAGCTCTGCAAAAATGTCCTTATGAAGAATGCATCTTTCATGTGCATGTATGGAATCATCAGCTAACTTTTGCATGCCTTCTTACTTACTTGGGCTAAGTTAGATGAACTTGGATTCATTTAAGTGTTCGTCCTGCTCATCACAATTACTCTAAGAGTATACAGTAAATGTTTAGCCTGACCGATACTGGTATTGATAACAATATATCAAATAACAGCATTCTTTTTTTTTTTTAAAACAAATACTTAACAAAGTTGTAACCAAGATACAAACGGATTGGGACATTTTACAGTTGTCAGTGCTCTTGGTCAGACAAACTATGTAATGGTGTCCCTGTCCCCAAATCACCTCAAACTAAGATTTGCATTTCTCTGCTCTCTGTCACTTATCGGCCCACATACACTGTTATATCTGCAATAAGCTAACGTTTATCGATCCAGCTCGACCAGAAAAACACTTAAAAAAGGTGATTAGTTTACTCTGATCGAAAACGTCTCTGCACCCTCCAATTTCTGTTCAGTATGAATGAGATCACAACATGGTGAAGCACTGGAAGTGGGCTCATATACACAATATGAAGAGTAAATAGAAAATATATAGGCTGATGATTATTTCTTCTTTTTGAGGACCTCTGTGAGTACTTATGAGTTTTCTATTACAGCAAATGCTTGTTGTGTATTTGTTAAATTAAGCAACACTTGCTGTTTTTGTGTCATGACAGAGACGGACATAACACACCCTCTTCGTATCATGCTTGTTTTCCCAACAAGCTACAGCTATGGTGACTAACAGGTGCTACTGGTGAAAACAAGGCCATTTACTAAAGAATAGTGGAACTTTTTCCTGTTTTATCTGTAAAATAGCTTAAAATCTTCATAGGCACGTCACCCAGCCAGGAGAGGGTGTGTTTATGTCAGTCTCTGTCTTCCTTCACACTCTTTTCACTTTTTCCTCTCTTTGATTTGTGACAATATCTTTCTCTTAAAGGATTTGAATCACCACTTATGGTATTCCTAGTTCTTTTTTTTTTCATTTTGATGTTAACCTTTGTCTGCCCATATTCTTTTTGAAGGTGAGGCTAGTGCGCTCCAATCCCCCTAGCCCGCAGTTCAAAGCCTCTTTCGACGCCTCCTACCAGGTGTACAAACTCTACCAGATGGCCATTCACAAGGACCCTCCTGACAAACCCTCCGAGAGCCAGGTCAGAGGGTGGGGGGCATAGGTCGACCTGCTTGAGGGGTATCCAGGGAGGGAGGGAGGGAGGGAGGGAGGGAGGGAGAGGGTTGACAAGTTTGGATACCTACAGAGACATCAAAAGCATTTATCTTGCTCATCTCTTATTAATATGTTATCATGGTCCTCTTTTTAGTGTTATATCATATAATTGACTAAAACGAATCATTGCTTCAACAGCTTCTTTATTGTAAGTGCTTGATATGATTTCACATTTGAAACAAATGCAACACAGATTGTAGTTTTTGAAGACTTATTATTATAATCATGATTATTTGATAAATCAGTAAATAATTATTAAGTTTGCACTTTAAGTATGTAATGGGTATTGTTTACATATTTTGGCTCATTTTACAGGCTTAGATCATAAAGGAAAAAGTCAGAACTGTACATTATGAGACTGAAAATAGATTGAAACTGATAAATATTTTCACTTAAATTCTGCAACATCAAACAGAGACAGTTGAAGCATCGGGGAAAAACCAAAATGTCTGTGTAAATGAAAAAAAGTGAATTAACGTGTTAGTATTAAAGAGACTGTATGTGTATAAGAGGGAGAGTCAAAGGGAGAGGAAATGGAGGGGAAAATGTTTCCATACGGCATGGTTGAGAGCAGTGTTTCTCCAGGTGTCTGAGTTGGCCCTCGGTCGGCCAGCCCGGTCGTTAGTCTTGAGCTGTTTCAGTTTTGGGGGGGCAGTTTGTCAGCTGAACCCTCTCGACCTTCACACATTTACCTCGTCTATAACACACACACACACACACACACACACCCCCCCCCCCCCCCATCACATCACCCTCACGATAGAAACTGGAATGGCATTGGAGTTCAGGATTAAGCAGTGTTCATGAGATTTTAATTGTCTGCGTGCAGTCTGTTAAACCTTGTTTACCTTTTGAGGGGAGTCTGTAGCATTGGAAGAGTCTGTGTTTGTCAAGCTGAGATGATTCATTCAGACACAGTTTTGGATTTTTCTGCTGCTCCGGGCCTTACACGTGCTGACGCGGTGTTGAATCTTGAATTACCAATCCTCTTCGTGCGATCTGTTGTCTGCTGGGCGGTGCACTAGCCTCATCCTCAAGTCCATTTTATTCTTTTAAAAACACACTTTCAGTCTCCTAGAATCCTATTGTTTTCTTGCATTTTTGCACAACGATCTGATAAAAATCACAAAATCAAGTCTCAAACTCAAACCAGACCGGCTGTGTTACCAGCTTGCCTTGAGGACTAGGAGACTGATGTGAACCCTAAGATGCTAAAACACTTGTATAACACTGTTTAAAACCTCTATTGTTGAGTCCTGCACTGTCAGCTCCTCCAAAGTACCCATGCTTCCTCCTTTTCTTTTTTGCAACTCTAACTACTCACCGTCCTTGTATTCATTGTCAACCCATATAAAACCTCCCTCAACCTTATTGCTCCCCCCCCCCCCCCCCCCCCCCCCCCCCCCCCCCCCCCCCCCCCCCCCCCCCCACACCCTGTGCTTGAAGGTGAGGCTAGTGCCGGTCAACTTTGAGGACCCTGAGTTCACAGTGTCCTATGAGCAGTCGGTGGCGCTGTACGCAAGCTACCAGATGGCCATTCATGGTGATGACCCCAGCGAATGTAGTGAGAGTGAGGTACTGCATGATTATATATTCTGCACTTTGTGTAGGGCACCACTGCACATGCTTGTTCCTGCTCTTTGCTGCTTTTCTATTTTATGTCATTTTCATTTGAAGTCTAAGTATTTTCAAATGTTAGATGAAATGAGCACTTTACAGATGTCACCTTGGACTCTAGCAGGGCACACTTTTCACAATGTTATGGCTTTTTGTAGACTTAATGATTGATGTAAACCAGTTATCATTAAAATAACTGTCAGATTAATTGAAAATGAAAGTAATTCTTAGTTGTGGCCAAATTTAGAAAGGTATTTCTTTGTTGACAATGCAGTATTTGCACCTCGATCATTAACTGTTTCTCCCACTCTCCATCACATTTGCAGTGTACTTGCTATTGGATGAATCGTAGCTTTCGCTGGTCCTAAATAAATGGTTGTAATTTTAAAAATATTTTGTTTTGAATCAGTAAGCTGTAACTTTAAACTTTAACAGAAGGAGAGAAAAAGTTTGCTAGTTTGTGCAGTGAATGAGAAGTATTGTCCAGTAATGAATGGGAATGGGAAACAGAAACAATTACCAAGTATAGATTCAAAATTTTAAAAATGAATTTACGATGCACAGTAAGTGATATTATAAAATATAAACACACACCTCCGTTTCTCCACTTTATATATGAATAAAAGAGGAGAAAATAAAGTCTAGTCAGGATGCAGAACTGCTGGACATTCTCGCTAACCTGAGAGGGCCCTTTGTCCCTCAGGGCTGGAAAAACAACCTCCTCCTCCTCCACCCTCCTGCCAGCAGCCCTCAGTAAATTACTGAATTCTCCAGCTTGTAAAAGTAAGGTAATTAATAAATAATAAAAGCTGTCAGATTGGGCAGACTGTGGCAGATTCTTTCCTAGTGCCATAACACTAGCTCTGTTAAAGGGAATGTGTGTTTGTGTGTATTTGTATGTGCTTCAGCTACGGCTCAGGTTTATAACTGTACTGGGATTGGATGGGTTCAAGAACTGGAGGAATAACTTTAAAAAGAAATAAAAAATGAAAAGGCGTGGAGCTGCGCAAACAACTCTGCTGTCTGTTTGGTTGCCAGAGTTCTTTTTTTTTTATTGATGGACTTTCCAGGTTGGATACTGTTTGAATGTAGTGTAAGAGCACAGAGTGAATTAAGGTGAGGTTAATTACACCTAAAGCCCATTTATTGTAATTTACCTTGACATCTCTACCATAGGGAATGGTATAGAGAAATGACTGGAGTCCAGATTGTAACAACACTATGTATTAATTTTGACAGGGTTTAATTAAGACGATAATATGTACAACTTATGGATTGACACATTTTCTATGCTTCATGTAGATAATCTATAGGTCAACACAAGTCAGTTTCTGACAGACATAAACATCCTCCTGGTATAAGCTTTTGTAAATAGCTTATTTTGTTAAAGGAAGCCCCCAAATTATTTATTTATCAATTACTCACCCTGTGTTACGTTGGAGAAATTCTTGATGAATTGAAGTCATGGGAGGCCATGTTAAACAACAGCAAAGCTATATTTGATATACTGTTTGATATAGTTTTGTTTGTTAAACATGGACCCCTTTAACTTCAATTGATCAAGATTTTTTTTTTCCTTTTTTGGATTTGTTTCCTTCAGAAATTCAACATCACAGGAGGTGAGTAATTGATATACAAATGATTATTTGGGGCGTGAAGTGTTCCTTTAATACCAGAACTGAACTGGAGATGCTGTGCTGTAATTTGCACATGGTCATCCCTAATTGTTCCCACTCAAACAAATTGGACGTTATTATATTCCCCTTAGTTGGACTCACTGCTATGACATCCTCTCCTGAGCAACTGAACACTGCTGATTTTATTTTCTTGCCCTTCAAACTTCTGGTTAGCCTCCTTCTCTTCCCAGAAGCTCCGAGCCCCCCCATTGTCCCGTGGTATTCATAAAGAAATGGGAAACACATTGTTGATGCGGTGATGGCACATTTTGGTGCCATGCCATTCTATGCCTGCTGCTGCTACCTAGGAAGTTGGGTCATTTAGTATTTGTGGAAGTATTTATTAATCCATTAAAGTATTACCTAGAGACAGAATGTGGAATAACGTCAGGCTGGCTCAGAGCCAGTCGATAGGAGAGATTGTGTGTGTTTGTGTTTGTGTGTGTGCGCAAGTTCAATTACCCTGCCAAAATTGTACTACCATTAGACAGTATGATGTCCTGGAGGGGAAAGGCTTTGTTTGTTTAAGGATGTATGCATTTCCTGTCATACCATGACTGGAAGGGAGCCAGACGTTATTCCTTCCACATCCAATCATGGTTTCCTGACAGACTTGAAGCACAAACTTGCAATTATTTAGACACACATGCGCACACACACACACACGTGCACACATGCACACTCTTACTCACACTTACTGGTCTTAACTGTTTTGCTGAGCCGTGACTCTGAGTTCCTGCACATGTGGCATTCATTTTCAGGAAAACAAATCCTGTTAAATCTGTATTTACTCTTCTTGATGGCCAGGACCTTAACCAAGACACATGAAAAAAACGGGGGGGGGGGGGGATATGGAAAAAGCTGCGAAATGGCAATAAAATTTGTCAGTAAAAATGAGAAATGAATGAGGAAAATAACTTTTGGCACAGATGAGCTTGATGCTATTTGCAACACGGTTATGCACAATAATGAGAGATTCAATAAAACCTTCTATAAGCACCATTCCTCTTATGTCAGAGCTCATAGTATTTGGTTTATATTTACCCATTGATCTGTGCACTGCAGCTAGGTTCTGAACTAAGCAATGATCTGGTCTGAAAAGGTTTGGTGAAGAGAGAAAGAAATCAGTTGTTTTTTATTGTATGTGAGAGTGAATACAGAAACCTTGTTGCTAAAATAAGTCCAGCATTTTGAGCAAGTAAGAGCACAATGACGAGAGGTCTAAGTAGCAATTAGGTTTAAGCAGATGCGTGTGTTTATATGTGCTGTATGTGTGTGACTGAAGACACTACAGCTTGTGTGTGTGTATGTGTATGTGTGTGTGTTTGAGACGGCTGCTTGCCCTTCTAATCGTACACAGATGAGTGTTTACTATAGGAAAGGGAGAGTTAGAGAGGAAGTGATGGACTCCATGTGTTGCAGATGAGAACGTTCCAGAAGGCACTCTGGACACGGCTCCGTTTACAGGCATGTGCGTTGTTGTATTAGAGATACAGAGAGAGAGGAAGCTGAGATTGTATTCGCATGTTTATAACCTTGCTGTCTTCATGCCTGAGTGACCTACACATTAGACTGTCTATCTCCTGCCGAGTCTGTGCGTGGTAATGAGCTTTGTCTGTTTGTTTGTTTGTTTGTGCGTCTGTGTCAGCCTGGCAGGGACGTGTGGTCTGTTGTTTGTCAGTGGCTAGAGAGGGGTCAACCCTGCCAGGCTCCAGGAGAGCGGCCTCACCCAGCCAAGCAGGGCTAACACAGCAATGGAAAGCTGCTGCACTCCTCTGCTCCTTCCTCTTGGTATGATTACCCATCAGCCCCCTGATGAGTGCCTAGTAAAGGCAGTGAAAGGGGGAATGAGGAAGCTTGAAGCTATATCCAAGTATGCATTTGAATACATTAACGGGCTCTAATGCGTAAAAGTTCACACTAACTCATCTAATTAAATTAATACAGCGTTTGCTGCAAGGTCAGTTGGAGATTCACAGTTACACACACACACAGCAGTCAGTGTCATAGCATAGCCTCTATAAATGATGTCATCTAATAAGTGCAGCTGTTGTTCTGTTGGTAAAACATTTAGTTTTTTTCTTTTTGTGAGGTTTGAACAAAAGTTTCATTTGTGCCTTCCAGCAATATTACACATTGGGAGGCTTTGCTGTTGGTAATTTGTTAACTGGCAGAGCAGTAGTCACTGCAAAGTAAAGAGGGGAAAATTACACTTTACTGGCATGGTTACACAGGTGGGGAACTTGATAAGTATTTTTTTGCATGAGCAAAGATCATTATCAACTAAACAGATGCAGTCACTACAGTTTCCACATAGGTAATGGAAACTGTAGAATGTTTATAACATACTCCTGTTTAGCAGGTGTCTAGCATGCCAGTGGATTTGAATTTAAATAGTATGCAAATTATAATTTCATGCAGTGTGGACAACACATCTCCACTTTCTCTTTCTGTATAAAAATGAAGCCAAAAAACCTGAATACAGCCACTGTAATCCTGTGTTTGTGATGTAATTTGGAACCAGACGCTGCACCGTAGTGATAAGTGTGGTATCAAGTTCCTGCCCATGCACCCACCTTATCAATCAAGAGCGGTGCTATTGACTGTGAGCACACCGATTGGCACACACAGTTGTCAATTATGATGTCAAACCCCCTTTTTATAGCATCAAATAACTAATTAAAACCAAACTTATTGGTAAAACAAGCACTTGAACATACATACAGCAGAAACCATCTTTGGGAAAAATGTATTTATTTTTTAGTTTTTAGTTTGGGCCATGTCCCGTTGACTGACATAAACTATACAGCAGTCAGTCACTAGAGAGTGATAGATATGTTTTGACCAAGCGGCAGCCTCCAGGGCTGAAAAATGAAGCCAATACAGAGGTGCCAAAAACTGCAGTTCTTTGAATGGCCACATGAGGCGCCCCTCATAGACCCCAGTGTTAAAATGAGCAACATTACAGCAGAAATAAACGCGTTTACAGCCTGGTACAAAAAATGGTTATAGTCTCCATTACCCCTACATGACAGCTGCACGGGGGGTGAATTTTCTTTTTTACAACTCACCCATTTACATTTTATTAAGGCTTAACATTATGCATAATTAAGGGTGGGCTGTCTGCCAATAGTGTCCTTGGCTTTTTAGTGAGATCCACCTGGTGAAGATGTAGGTTCAAGGACTATTTCAGTAATTGCATGTAAAGATATTGCAAGTACCATTGGCCTAATGATGCAGGACAGTGTAAAGTTAAATTGACATTTTAGTGACATATTGTTGTGTCTGAGCAATTCTGTCCTTCCCCTTTGCTCCACTCTGTCCCAGTGTAAGGTTGAGACAAGGGTAAAGGCAATGTGCTGCATCTTGTTGAAGTATTCAGCACTGCAGGGTGCACTGTTTGTGAGACTTTTATAGCTCAGAACAACAGCTCTCAGCAAGAACTGCATGCGTTGTTTTTTAGTTGGGTTGATTTTGAACTCTGTACACTCGCTGTCTTCTTCCACGATCCTCATATTTTATAGATGTACTTATTTTTTCGACTGGAACTTAACTAATATTTTGTGGATTTAGTCATTTTTATGACTGGAATCCAACTCAAGTGGGCGACTTTGAAAGGTAGTGAAAACTGTTTGCTTCAGGCGAAGGTAAAATAGAAATGACAGATGACAGTGCATCATTCTGTAGCCCTTCTCTGCCAGAACATCCCCCGTGTTGGAGAACACTGCGTTAGTGTCATCAACACACACACACACACACACACACACACACACACACACACACACACATCAGCTGTGGCAGACAAACGGAGAAACACACGCTCTTTTGGAGGAGTTCAGCATACTGGCGGGATTTTGAGTTGCATCTAAGCCAAGACTGTCCCACCCAGTGAACCATGCCTTCAGCAGTCATTGCTATTACTAGCTGTACTGCTGTGCACACACTTACACACGCACACACACACACACACACACACACACACACACACACACACACACACACACACACACACACAGAAGATGTTGGTGCGCTTGTGGGAATTTCCAGTTACATATAGGACTTATTAGTTTTAATATGTAGGAAAGAGGGATCTCCCTCCCAGTATTGGGCTGTGCATAGCTGCTGTATGTACAAGATAAATTTGATTCATCCATTTATTGAGAGAGAGACTGTGAGAAACTGGTCTTATTCCAAATACAAGCAGTCATGACAGAAATTAAAGATGCGGTAGGCAGTTTTGTCATTGGGCAAAAAAACAATAATAACCCTTGAGTATATTGTTATAAAGTTGCCCAAGAAAAAAAGATAGACTTCTGCACTGCCTTCTGGCCAGTGACAGGAGACTGACCAACCACAGGTCATTTAGTAGAACAGCCTATTGGCTGTTCTACTAATGCAGATACACATGCATGTCCGTTCATATGGTGAAAACCTGATTCAGTGGTGGAGAATCCTGCAGAGAAAGTTGCTATTCTAGCATTGTCTTGTTTAAAGAGGGTCTGAAAATAAACACAACAACAGCTGAATTTATTTTCAAAGCATGGGACAGGAGAAGAAAAATAACCTATAACAGATAAATGTCTCAAATCTTATCTTGATTTATTTAATTTTGTTTATTTGTCTGGATACAGGATATATATTATTAGTTTATGAATTGGATCAATTATGTATTTATTTATGTCTGGTACAAATAGAACTCTGTTTTTGTTTTGTTTTGTATCTTTGGATCTGTGTTTTGTTTTATGGTTAGGTGGCTGTGGGTGTGTTGATAGGTTGGTATATATCCTGGAGTATGATTTATTTGTGGGAGGCTTATGTCTAGATATTGTGCTGTCCAGTGAGCCGGAATGTTTGTTTTGTTGTATTTAATGCGTCTGTATAATCCTATGTGGGATGGGTCATGTAAATGTCCAGACACGAAAATAAAATAATCATTCATATTCATTCATTCATTCATTCATTCACAACAAAACACCTGTCAGTATCGGCAAAGCATTTCAGAGATGGACAGATAATAGTTCAGCCCTCTGCTAACCAGAGCTAAAGTCCCACAGCTGTGGCTAATTCAAGTTAATTGTTATGTCGCTAGCTAGAGCCTCAAATCACAACACGTCCTCTGCCTTACTCCCTGCCGCTACGGACTACTTCACCGAGACGAGAGCAGGCAACAGCATTCCGGAGATGGACCTTTAGTCAGTGGCTGTAGGAACTTTCGGTTGCTGCCATTACACAAGTAAGACCCACCCTGCTGTGACACTCGATGCTGGTGTTTGTGCTGGCTGAATTTGAGTTGCTACAGCCACTGACTGAAAGTCTGTCTCCATAGCTGCTGCCTGCCCTCCTCCTGGTGAAGTAATCTATAGTGCCTGAAAGTGTAGTGGAGGGACAGCAGGTAGGTGTGCTAGCTAGGTGATTCTCGTCTCATTTTTTTGTTGATAAACAGAGTGAGAGTGAGTGGGCAAAGAAAGGATAAACGAATGTGCTGTGAGCAGCTCTACAATGAAATATAATTAAATAAATCTATGTATGGATGTAATGTATGAAGTGTGTGCATATGTCCATGCCCCTCTAGTAGGAGGGGCTTAGGACAGAGAGGGGAGAGCTGCAGGAGGAGGGTGTATTTTCATATTCTGTCTTTTGTATGTGTGTGTGTGTGTGTGTGTGTGTGTTTTCTCAAAAACGGCAGCTTTAAATCATAAGTGGCAGAGAAGTTAGAAAGCCTAGAGTCAGGGTTTGAATGAGGGCAAACAAATACATTATTATTGGAGCCATTGGTTAATAAGGAATGTCATAAACTAACCTCCTATTTTATCTGTTGTTTTACATAGTTCATATCCCCCTCTTGTTTATTTAGTCCTGTCTGAAACTTCCCCATTATACGTTTATGATACTTTGGTGCTATTCTAGACTTTCGTCCTGCTCACCAGACAGTGGAGCCAATGTCGAACATATCTGCAAATGAAAGACACAGCTGGATTGTAGCATTTCCTTGTGAAATATGAACTTGAAACTGTGGTGTGGCGCATGAGGGTGAGATAGACCGAGCAAACCAAAAGCTGTCCATCACTGCTCCACTGTGGCCGTGCTGGTTCTCATTATAGATGGGGGTTTTGGCTCTAGACGTGGAAGCGTGCTACGTTTGTCTTCCAGTCCTGCAGGTCAGCTCGTCTGTAAACACACTGCTCTCAACCCTGGCGCTAAAAAAGAAGGAGCACAGGAAATAGTAGAGAGAATGGAAGAAAGATTTTAATGTTTCCACAGACATAAATTCCCCCAGTAATTGATATCTCATGCGCATTTAAAAGCTTGTTCAGAGGTTGGCTATTTTGACGGCAGCGTTATTTAAGCTGTCACTATGTCCTCTCTGGACTGTGAGCTTCAGTTGATAGGCTAAATGTTTTCATTTGTGTAAATACAATCTTCCTTTTATGTCCCTTTGTGAATGGGGGGGGGGGGGGCTGCATTCGATATGTGACACCTGAGTGAGGAGAAAACAGGGAGGGATAAACTATAGGACAGCAGTGGAGATGTGTATGGTTTTCATTTGTGCTTTTTCAAAAGAGTGGTTGACCCAGAGAACTAACTGTTTTTCTCTCTGTCCCCCCACCCTTCTGCCTCCCTCCACAGTTCCGGAGATTTCTCTGTGATTCACCACTAGAGGTATGTATTTCCTTTGGCCTGTTGACAGTTTAATGAAACCTCTTTTGAAATGTCCCTCTTCATCAATATGTGTTACCTGTAATGATTTAAAAACCAAGAGAAAGTCCTCCCTGGTGAAATTACTGTCACAGAGATGATAATCATTTGAAAAATGTCCAGCGTTTCAGTATTTAGTTTTTTTCATCACACACACTCAAAAGGGGATAAATGTACACTAGTTCCTCCCGTCTAGCACATACCTATCCAACCACCTTTGCTCTGTCTCTTCAAGAGCCCTCCAGCTGGATTGAGGGGGGGTTAAGGGATTTAGGAAGGGGGTTTTGTTTCATTTCAGAGGGGTTTTTAATTTAGGCCTGTCTAAGTGAAAGGTTGTGTCGAGGGAGGAAAACAGTGAAATGTGGTGTCCAGATTGCGTTGCGACTGTGTTCAACACAAGGTCTTCAGACCGAACCTTTCCTGTGGCCTTCACAGAATGAGACATATCACTGCTCTTCACTTTGTGTGGTGTGGTATAGATTACAGGCTGATCAAGCAGCTCGGAGGGCATCAGTTTGGGACCTAACAGACAGCTATCGGCCTAGTTAGCAAAAAGGAGTAATTATTTAGGCACCATTGGAAGTTTTATATCAGCGTCAGGTGCAGTGATTAATACAATCTTACTGCTGATCCATTTGCTTATTACATTTTTAGATGCTTATAATATGAAGGATATTGATGGCATCTGGATTGGGATTCACTGTTAAGCTTTGGTATTCTCTGTGGTCACTGAGTGAGACGTAGCTGCAGCCAGGCATCACTGAGCACTTAGCAGGCCCGGTGAGCTGCAGCCTTCAGAAACACCAGTGGACCTGTTGGGTCAGGACAATTACACCAGCAATTAGACCCAGGATGGGTACTTATAACAGCTGCTTTAATGGGATTGAGGGCCAGGAGCACACAAACTGACTAACACGGAGACGCACAAACACAGTCACCCTGTGTTGCCCCCGTGGGCCCCCTCAGGTCTTCACTAATGAACATCATTAGTGTTTATAGGAAACAAGCTTTTATCACCTCGTCAAGGCTGGCGGCCAGGCACACTGAATTACACAGTCCTGCACACATACACACACACACGTGCACACACTTACTGTGGCACACTGCCTCACATATCTTTCTGCCTTCACTGTCCTCTCCTCTCAGACTGGTTCAGGGGGCCGTCTCCATTCGCTTGGCCTACTCTCACCCAACTTGTTTTTTTTATTTCTTTCTCTGATCTCCCTCCCTGTCTTCTCCTGTCTCTCTCCAAATGCTCTCCATTTCAGAGTGATTATGCGTGGCTTTCTGCGCTACCTCTGCGTGTCGGCCTCCATCTGTCTCCAATCAGAGCGCTATTAAAATACACACACAGACACTCACCACATGGACCTGCATACTGTGTGGTTCATCAGCTCACATGTAAGCCTGCATTTATACAAATGTATGCAAACAGCGTACTTACAAATCCAACTGCGGCTAATTAGGGCCCAGGTTGTCTGACTTGTTTGTTTGTTGCTGTGTTCCATTTCACCAAAATTGCAGAGGATTCATGCTGAAACGCAGGTAATTAACATCAGCTGTCTCTGATTCCTCTGCATGTTTTAGTACATTTACGCACACAAGCTGACGCGTAAACACACTCCTGCAGTCTAATAAACAGTGGCACATCAGTACCTGCAAGCACGATGAGCAGCAGTCATGCAGGTGTCTGTCACCGCACTTGACTCTGGTGAGGTCTAAGTGGCATGTGCTGGAGAAACTCAAGGTTTTATGAGCTGTGTGGGGTTCGTGCACTCATTCTGTTTCTATTTATTTTTCTTTACGGCCTCCTTATGTGTCTAACCAAGGGGCAAACCCTCATTAACAGGGGTGTTGGCCAATTAGTCACTACGTTTTTTTTATGGCCACACTCCAAAGCTTTCTCTCCGTCTGTCCTTCTGTGATTTGGTTTCTCTTTCTTTTCCTGAGAAGGAGAGAATGAGAATTTTCATTATGTTAAGAAACAGAGATACACATCAGCAGGGAATGCACCAGCTGGCATACCATAGTAGTGAACACACAGGCTCTACTGTATACACACCTCAGCTGTAAGCCAAAAACAGAAAAGTCGACCAGCTTTGTCCACTGTAAAACAACAGAACAACTCTGTAAATGAGTTCATTAGTAAAGTTAATTCCACTTTGTCCTTTTGTAGCATGGGAGAAGTAAGTATTTTTGTATACTGACAATAATGGGCGCTCATGATGTGAGTTATGCTACACCTGCAGGCTGCTTGCAGGACTTACTCTGTGCATGTTTGCGGTTGTGTGGAGATGCACATTTGAGATTTGAAGATGGAGAGGGAGACTTTGAAATGTGTGAGTTCAGCATCTGTTGTCGGTCAGTGTCAGAATCATAACAGCATCATTACTGCAGAAGGTCTAACAGCTCTGTGTTGCAGATTTGCACAGAGTTGATGGTAAGCTGAAAGAAAAAGTAGTGTCACGGTAAACCTTCACACTTCACTGATTTGATTTCTGCCCAAAAGCAATTAAAAAATGCAATGCAAATAACTTTAATAAACATTTCCAACACAGTTGAAGTAAGAAACCACACGTTGCAGTATTACTTCAAAGTCATGTTTTTTAAACGCAAAGGGCTAATAAATAATACATGCAAAATAAATACAAGAAAATTTAGTACAAATAAACATCATAAATAAGAACAAATGAAATGAAAATTAATGGCCCTGACAAACAAACAAGAAATTGTAAGTGAAACCATGCTCATCCCAAATATATTGTGTAATTCACTATTGTTGTAAGGAAACGGAATAAACTCAAAGCTATTTCCTAAATCTGTTCTTCAGCTAACATCTGCCACATCCTCTAAGCACAAGCCAAGCTTTTGTCCGTTCTCTTATTGGAAAACAATGTTCCAAACAACTGCTTTGATCAGACGCTTTGTGGGGTTTCATCACATTGAATGGAACGTCACTCTCATTGTCCAATTTGGGACTTTGGATCAGTGTGTTAAACAGAAAACATAGAAACGATTCTTTAAAAGGCATTAATGCACTGCAGAATCCTCCTATGGGCCACCAATTGGTCCACTGACTTTTCAACCACATACAATAATGTCCTTTAAGATGTTTGATGCTACAGGGGAAACATCATCAATAGCAGTGAAGGACATTTTCATTTCAAGCTTAAAAAAACTGGAACGAAATAGTCTGGTTTTCTGTTTATTGTTTGGAGATGCTGTTAGTATGGTAAAATGATATGGTGGAATAATAAACTCAGTACAAACAGTTTTGTCAGTATATGATCATAATCTCATTCAGCAATATATTTTATTGTATTTAGATACAACTTATCCCTGGGCTTGTAGCTGTCAAACTGTAAGACCATTTTTACGTCCAGATTAGGCTTATATTTGGTTTGGGATTTGCTAGAATAAGCAGTTTGAAGGGATACCAGGTTTCAACCAGCATAGCAATGTGGGTAGGGTATGTAAATGAGCTGTGGTAAACTTCCCTCCATTTTACCAGTGCCTAGATCTCTCTGCTCATTTACAATCTGCTGGTGGATTTTCGCTGGCTCTTGGGCTGTTTGCTCTAACTACAAATGGTACTTCCTCCTGTCTGAATGCCCGCCGCCATCACACACACAGACTATAGAAGTGAATTGAGAGAGAGAGCCACCCCTGTCTCTCTTTCTCTGAAGCTCCAACCAAACTGATCAAACTGTAAAACTAGGGCTGATCAAATATAAACCAAAAGTCTGTTAACGTTTTGCCTATTTATCACCCGAAATCTCTTCAGAAACATATTTTAGTGCACTGTTTGGCTGCAGTGTAAGAATTTGGGGAATTGTGCACCATATGGTTTCCTTTACATTTAAAACGGAGACTAAAAAGAAATTGTAAATCTAAGCAATGCTTATTAGATATGAACCAACATTCAGTTACTGCGTTGCCTGTTTCTGGCCTCAGAAGTTTTCAAAAACATATTCATGCTTACTGTGTAGCTTAACAATGAAGTCATTTATTAGCATCAGGCCCCCAGGAAGTGCGCCAGGTCTTGAAACAGTGTCCAAACAGTGGCACTGCAATTACTGAAGTCCGTCACGTGATGCCATTGGGCCCAAGAAGACTTTTTCCCATAGACTTACATTGGCAAAGAGATCACCATAAATCAGTGGATACATTTTTTGAACGTCACAACCCCTGTGAAATTACTTATGCCACCATCAAGATTTATTTAGTTGGGTTCAATAGCATTTGTAAAGTCTAAAAATGTCATCCTTGCCTTGTTGGGCCCAATAATGAGGAAGCAGTACTGATGATGTAAGTAATTTCATACCCTGAAAATAGAGCTTCTTTGGCTATATGCGCCACCGAGGAACTTTCATAGGAACGAACAAGGCCCTGCTGCCAATGCTGTATCCAGGTCTCTTAATACATCCATGGTTACCATCCTGCTGCTGGGTTGTTTTCAGACAGGCAAGTTGCATAATGTTACCCACCAGTAGGGGCGTCTGTTGGTCCAGTGTGGTGTTTTCTACCTTTTGAGCTAAAAGCTAATCCCACAGTCCTCTTTCTTTGTTTCTCTGGTCATGTAGCACCAATTTCAAAAGTATTTGCGTCTTTCGACTGCACAGACAGCCCAGCTTTGTGAAAAGACCATCTTTCCAGAGGTGAAATACTTCTTGAACAAATTCCAACAACTTTAAACAACCACAGAAGAGTGTCTCATACAAGGTTTCTGTTTCTGCCGATTTTACGTTGTTGAAACAAATAGTCAGTGCACCACCTCCCCACCTTGTCGAGACACGTACACCACTCACACGGCCCTGTATTTAGGCCATATGAGAGCGATTTGGGGCTGCAGGGGAAGCTCTGGGGTGGTTTGAAGTGTTCCAGAGAATGTTTAGATTGTTGTCACAGTGGCAAGGACACAACCATTAAGCTGTCGTCTGAGGTGAGGCGCGGGTCAGTCAGACAAGATCGGCCTTGGACATGGCATGAACTCAGAAACAAACACGCTAACTCAGACAGACGTTACTTCTTTTGCACAGGCATTGCTCAACCTTGTATACTCGAGGTAGGGCAAGAAAAAAAATCTGCCTCTCTTATACACACTGATCACCTCTCGCTCTTTTCCTTTTACTTACAACTTCTAAATGACACAGAGGGGCCTCCGACAAAGCCTTCAGTGTTTCTGGGGGAACTGGTGCCAAGAAATTACAGGCTGCCTGCTTTCACAGACGGACAGATCCCCCAACCTCAGACACACACACATACACACACAGCTACATAGAGTGTAGTGCTTGCTCCAGGTGTGGTGCCTGTCACCCTTCAACACCCCCAGCTGCCCACCAAAAAACTGCATTTTTTTATTTGAGTCTTCCCTCCCCCGTTTTTGCCTAAACCCACATCATCTTTATGTCATATCATATATCATATGCCCTCTGATGTGGGGGAACATTTAGACAATTTAATCATTCCTTCCCACCCAACTACTCACACACACACAAAAGTAAATGGACTCTGGTGTATATTGTGTCAGACAGGTAATCAGACCTGAGTGTTCGAGGGGCCTGAGCGAGGGGGGGATATAATTTTATTTTTACTACCCGCTCTACTTGAGAAAACCTTACATGGTGGTAAGGAGGAATGTGGCACACAGTCACCCCATTGGTTATGCTCAGCTCTGTGGGGTCACAGAGCTGCAGGGAGTGTGTGTTTGTGTGTGTCTGTGTGCCTTGTTTTTATTTGGTCAGGTTTAATTTGGTCAGAGTGTGGGCCCAGTGGCGCGATGGATTAGCCAACTAGCTCTCTCAGTGTTGTGATAACTAGCAGCGTCTGCGCTACTTAACTAGGTCCAGATGAATGTTGGTGAGGAGTAAGGATCCTGTTACTCGTGCACCAAAGAAAGACACACACACAAACCAATACCCTGGCTTACCATTGACTTTTAACCCTAACCCCAAGCCTCTCGTCTTAAGCCGCTGTGATAAAAGCAGTAAAGTGACTTGATTGAAAAAACCCAGCATGTGGATCCCTATGAGAAACGCAACGTGTGTCGAACACTTAACTGTTTTATTAATGGGGTAGACTCAAGCACGCGGGTGTGCTCCAACACCCACATTCTTTCATACCACATGGAGAGAGCAGACACAGACATATAGGAGAAAGCTTGGCAACACTCCACCACCGCCTGGTGAAATGGATTTTGCTCACGCAGGGTCTTTTATTAAAAAGTCCTCTCCTGGAGTGTTTCTGTGGCCAGCCCCCCCCCCCCAAACTCCACCCCTGCTCCTGCTCTCGCTCCACATTTGGGAGCCATTAGCAGGCTGAATGTGAGGCTACTGTACACCCCCACACATAATGCGTGAGGCCTGGCAGGGAAAAGTCTGGATTATGATACACCATCATACAGGTGTGTGTGTGTGTATAAGACAGTATAAAAACAGTCCTATTAAATACCACATTCTCATTCCACTGTAATTTATATGTTTCACATACAAACTATATGTCACACAAGAGTTATACTGCAGTTATGAGCAGTAACCACCTTCTGTTACTGTTTCTCTCTCTTTGCTTCTCCCCAGGCAGAACATTCTCCAGATGGGCCCGAGGTGGGCTACGGCTCCTTCCACCAGCAGTACTGGCTGGACGGGCGCATCGTAGCGGTGGGGGTGATTGATATCCTGCCTACCTGTGTGTCCTCTGTCTACCTGTACTACCACCCAGACTTTGCCTCACTGTCTCTGGGCTCCTACTCTGCTCTCAGGTTGGTTGCCAGAACCCATCATCCCTTTTCTGTTGCTTTTAAATAGAGGTTTGCAGTCTTTTTTAACACCTTTTTTAAAGCCAAGGACCCATCTGTCATCAGTGCTAATGCTGTGAGGAAAGGGAGGTTTCAGAAAAAAATGGATTAACTTACTTCATCTGACCCCTTGGGACAGATAAAGTGATCTGCCTTATCTGCACATTTGGTCCTCAAGGTATTTTACGTTAAACGCTATTATGAGACCAATCACAAATCCTGCAACGAGGTCATGAGTGAAGCGAGCAAACATAATGTTAAATGGTTTACATGGGACATATTTGCCCAACGTCAGTCTTCACAAAGTAGTGAAGGAGTTGCACATGAAATTGCTGTGTGGTAAGCAGTTCAGTGATGGAGGGTTAGTAGCAGGGGCCTGCTTGGTGAAAGTGGTCGACTTCATATGTCCTGAACCTGTGCGGCCCCTTGGTAATGTGCTGACTCTCTAGATTGCCAATTAGTCATCAAAACTTTAAACCTGCACACTCAGTGCATACATAGGCTAAATAAAATGTGGATAATATAAAATAATATACCAAACTATTTTATCTATTTTATATTTTAAAATTGATATGTTATTTAATGATCTATAAAGCCTTTTGTATAAAAAAATTATATAATGATTATTTGAATTAATGAGTATAAAACTTTTCACAGGCCTCCAGAAAGATTGCTATTGACCCACTTGTGTCCCCAGACCCCTCTGCTTTGAAAGACTTCTTATGTAATTGTCATAAACATACTAGATAATGGTGGAGATGATTGGTAGCCCCATTGGCATGTCAGGGGTAGTGTCAGTGCTCATGTTTCATAAAATCAGGACCATATTTTGTTGCTTCCTGTCACAGTTTTTTTCCTGCAATTTGTTCTGATTGCTATTAAACAAGAAGTCCCCTTCAACTTCTTTGCAGCAGATGTCCTGTCAAATGTAACCCAGTGGTGAACATTGCAAATTATGATGAAGAAGGCAGTAAAACTTTAGTAATATCCAGATTTTATCCTGTAATTGTTTCTTAGAATGAATGAGTAGGGTGATGATTTGATGCCTCTCATTGGTCAACATTCTCGTCTTTGTTCTCACTTTTATTCTTCCTCCCCTCTCATTCCCTCATATTTGCCCTCCTCTTAACCTGCTCTCTCCCTGACTCTTGATCTTTTTGTCTCCTCCCAAATTTTTATCTTTCCTTAGAACTGTATACTATAAGTGCCATAATACTGTAGGTTAGGAAAAGTACCTCTTTCTTCACAGTTGATTGGCCAAGGCAGTGCTCTGTTTGTGGTTCAGTCGACGACAGTTCTCTCTGCCAAGATGAAATAAGAGAACACACACGTACACTACAGGCGCACATATCTGGCGTTTCCTGTAAAATGTAACCCAATAATGTGAGAAAGGCTTTTAAAAATACTTCTGCGCAGATGTGGGAGACAGGGTGAGCTCGGCTTCAAAGTTGGTGTGTACAGGTGTTCGTATGTGAGTTGTGAGCGCTCGTTCATGCGCACATGTAATCGCACACCACGTCAGCCCAGCAGCTCGGACAGACAGGCTCTGCTAATGTAGAGGGAACACCCTGGTCATCATAAGCACACAGCTCCCCATCACTTATTATTTTAAGAGTCTGACTCCAAGAGTAACACAGAGAGCTCGGTGTGTGGAGGAGGCCTTGGAGAAGGGAGCCAGCGGGACTAAAATCCTCCCGCTTGTTTACAGACACCAGAGCCGGGGCCTTTGATCAGGTCTGGACACTCCCTAGTCTGCTTGGCCTGGCTTACTCTGTCCAAAACTTACTGTTCAGAATGCATGGGCGCACACACACCCACACAACTTGTGCAAACAGTCATTACATTAGATGGTGTTTCTTCTCCACAGTAAGCCCAACTGGACTGGAACCTGTGCTGTTTAACCATGCACAAGTGCACTCCTTTAAGAAAACAGCATTTAAAAAAAATCTTGTTGAACTTTTTCCTAGTAAGAAAAAGTCATGGAAAGGTCATGGAAAGACAGAGAAAAGGTTGGGAATTTTACACAAGTGCTTCTGTGGGGATTTGTCATTATCAGAGAAAACGGAATTTAGCTAAGGTCACAGTTGCGGTTAAATATGTATGTTACAAAAATGTAAGAAAAAGGTGCAGTCTGTACAGTAGTTTCTGTGTGAATACGTGCGATTCAGCAGTAGAAACAGGAGAGGGAGATGTTGAGAAATTTCTTGTGGGAGAGTAGCTCCTTGTGCCTCAGGGCCCTGAGGACAGAAGGAGGAGGAGGAGAAGTAAAGAGGCACATAATGAGGTGCCTGAGGCGCTGTGTGTAGGAAACACAGCTGGTGTCCAACCTGGATCACTTTCTTATGGGGATGTCCTGATTATGTTGTGTAGCCACTGATCCTGATCCAGGTCCTTAATTATTCAGTAATAATTGCTGATACTACACTCAATTGATTTTTTTTTTCCTCGTATATTTTTTCATTCATAATAAAGTAACAGAATACACATGTAAACTTCAGTAAGCCTACATTAGAAAAATTAAAACTGTTTAGATTTTAGACAGCTGGAAAAATCTGCATTACAACATTACATTAATGATTTTTGAAATAATATTTTCATAGTGTCCCATAGTTGTGCATACTTGTAAAGGAAAGGAGTGCAATTTAAGTTAATGTTAAGTTTATGTTGTGGCTTGCTGCCACATGCTGTCGTATCGATTTAAACTGCAGGCTTCTGTTTGTTTATGTTGTGTGCTGTTCAATTTACATGCCTTGAACTCGCTCACAACTTTGTACAGGTCCATTACTAAGGGAGCATCACTGTGCTGGAGCAAACAAGCAAGTGATTGGAAATGGATCGGACTTTACATAGACAATGAAGGCCTGGATTAATCCTGCAGCTAGCTTGAGACACCCCTAGTTATTTAGATATTTACAGTGTATACGTATACTGTGTGATTTCAGGTGAATTTCCTCGAAGCTTCTGTGGTTCCCATCCCCAGTGGCTCACTTTGCATTTTATACCTGGCCAATCAACACTATTCTTGCAGTGTTTGGTAATGAAATGTTTCCGCATGCATGCGAGGCTGCAGTAAGCACCTTGTGGTATGCACTATTATGGGCCCTTTGTGTCTGTGTGTGTGTGTATGTATGTGTGTGTGTCTGCACATCAGTATGAGGGAAGCTGTGCAGGAGCAGAGGGCTTGATAATTGGCTTGTGCTGGAGTGTCAGATGGCTGAAGAGGGGATAATGGCGGACTCAAGCTGCTGCCATGGGGGTGGAGGTGGGGGTGTGAAGGCCTCAAGTGAAGGGGGGGGATGCAGGGCTTTTTGTGAATGGGCCCCTCGCCTCTCTTGACCCCCCTCCCCCAATTCAGGCCTGCCGGGCGCTTTTGTGGAGAGGGGATGGGAACCCAGGAACCTGGCAGCAAGCGGGTGACCTTCTAGCACCTCGCTCTAGCTGCCTCTCTTCTCCCTCCCTTTCTCTTTCTTGACCCTCCTCTTTTATATTCTCCTCCTGCTCTCTCTCTCCCTGTCTCTCCCCCTCCCTGGCTTGGCCTGCTTTGTCCCATGTCTTATTTTTCAGTGCATCTATTTTATTTTAAGGCCTCTTTCTCTCTCTGTTAAGTATTGTAAGAAAGGGAATTCTCCCCCTTCATTTAAACGGGTGAAACACAGAGGGTGGAAGGAAGAGTGAAACAAAAAGGGAGAAGAAAGAGGAGCTGGAATTTAGTTATGGAATAGTGAGGGAAACAGCGGAGGGAAAGGGGAAAATAGGCTTTTAGAAAAAGGATGCAATTAAGGAAGAAACTATTAGGGAAAAATAAAGCAGGCAGGACATTTACTGTATTTGAAGAAGCCATATAAATCCTCCAAGTTCTAAATCTTTATTTTACACGCTCTCTCCCTCTTTTTTCACCGCTTTCTTTTCTGCTGGAGGGCTCAATGCTGATAGAGAGAAGGCAGTTGTTTTTGTGTAATGAAATGAGACCAAGAAAAGCTGCCTTTTTGAGTGTGGGTGTTTACTTCCTCAGCTTAGGCACTGCTCTAGTCAGAGCTGCTAGTACCAATTTTATTTCTTAATGCCCTCATTTATACTGTTGATATAGTAACCTGTGAGAAAAACACATTTGAAGTGAGTCGGATCCTGCATCCTTTTCACCTAGACTCTACTTTGACTTTTAATTTTAGGTATTGTAATATTAAGTCATATATTTGAATTTACTCTTTACTTTTTGCGGCTGCTGTTTTCAGTGATCAAAACCAGCTCCAAACTGTGGATCATCTCTTGTGTGATAATTGTTTGACTGTTTCTACATTAGCATACATTTGTAACTAAAACGCAGTGCAAACTATTTAGCATCAACCGACAAACTAAAATCAGCAGCAACTAATGAAATGCATAATTTGAAACCCACGTCACTGTGCAAATTACAAACATGCTTTTGGACCATCTGAAATTTAAAAACACTGCAGTGCAGCACCTCCAACCCAGGATCAGCTGAAAAAGAGAAAGTGGTGCAGGAGTGAGCCATCACTGTAAGAAGCAACAACGCCAGGCTGCATGCAGTATGTGCTGTTTTTGAAAGCCTGAGTCTTTTCTTTCAGTACCTCTCTGAAAAGGTGTGTCTGTGTGTGTTTTTTCCTGCCACAGGGAGATCGCTTTCACCAGGCAGCTGCAGAAACAGTCCCCCAAGTTGTCCTACTACTACCTGGGCTTTTACATTCACTCCTGTCCCAAGATGCGGTATAAGGTATGCATTTTCCCACATTGACATGAACAACACGTTTCTCATGTTTGTCACCTTTTATATAAGCAGCATCTCCATTTGAAAAGCTCAGATGAGTCTGATGCTGGCACAACATCCAAATGCTGAAAAAAATCAAATTGAGGTGTGTCTCACATATTTGATACTTTCATCAAAATATGTTTTCTAAGTTGAAACATTTCCATATCACCTTAAGTATTTTTACATGGGTTTATACTAGTTCTGTGTTACATTTAAAGGGGGGAACAACGTCCATTTTAAAAATTACACGCTATTCCTATGGTCTAAGACAGCACAAAAATTATTAGTAAACATGAAAATGAGCTCCCAAATCCAAAACTAGAGTGCTAACACTCAAATTTGTGATGTCATAGGGTATAAAGTCTGGACCTGGTCCTTGACAATGAATTGGAGAGATGTTATAGATGACACTGAGAGCACCCGGGAGAATGCTCTGAGTATATTGGCACAGTTTCAGTCTAAGGTCTGAGAACACAAAAGTAGAATAAAGCTCATTTGTGTGTGAATAAGAAAACTTTTTGTGGGTTCACAAAATCAGGCTTCAGCTCCAGACTTTATACCCTATGACATTACAAGTTTGAGACTTACTTTTCTGGTTTCTGAGTTTGAGAGAGAGAAGCTCATGTTCTCAAATATTGATTGAACTTTCCAAGGCCATGTAAAAAACATATTAGAATTCCTAATTTAGGTGGTGTCCTCTTTAATATTTCAATCTTTTGGCAACGGCTAGAGAACTGCTCAGCACTAGATGGTCCTGCTGTGAGTTTAACATATGTTTCTGACAATGTAAATGCTGTGCAAACTTTTGCTCTAATGTAATACACTCCTGTTCTGTAAATATCCTGATGGCAGCACCTTTAAATTCGTGTTCCTCTTCTCTGTCTTAACATTTAAATATCTGTAAATTGTTAATGATACAAGTTTTAATGGATGTGCAGCATTAAGCTCAATGATGCTACATTGCCATGCTTTGTTTATAATATTTCACAAAGTGTGAGTTTTTGCCGCGCTCTCCAAAATGCCACGATGATATACGACTGCCATTTTGATGTGCAAGCCCATTTTTTGCGAGACAAATGTTTCTGCTCTATCTGTTTGGTGTTTTAATGTTTCACACTGAGCCTCACTTCCACAGCATCTCTCTCCGTTCGTGAGAGACAGTCAAGATATCTGTCCTGTGCTGTTCAGTTATCATATGTGGAGGACAGGCAATAAGCAGTAAAGTGCAACTGTTATCGGCACATCAGGATGATGTGGCAGCGTCACTTTCAATGTGTTGATCCCTCTCCCACACTGTTTACATATCTCTCGCTCCGTCTATCCTCTTCCTGCTTGAAGTAGTCCTCGCCTCTCGGGCCAGGCACCAAAGTGGTTTGTTCCTCTGATTACTTTTGCATAATGTAGGTTTCTATCTTCCTGAGAGGCACTAAATGTCCCAACTGCCTGCTTGTAAAGGAAGAGGAAGACCAGCCCCCTTCTTTTTCCTCTTCTACTTTTGTTATTATAGGTGCAAAGGCCTCAGCAGGGGCCTACCTATGTGTTTCTCCCTCTCATTTCCACATGAATCCTGGCACCTGCTTTAATTTTTCATCTAGTACAGTTTGGAATTTTGCTGTCCATAAATCTTGTCAGCTTAATGACACATATGAAGTATACCATATAGGATGAGAAGGTGCAGCAGCGGGTTGACTATAGAGAAGATAAACTGTAATGATTCAAAGGTAGCTCTGGAATGCCCTGTCAGAGATCCTTTGCTGCTATTAGTACATGAACACGCAAATGCACTATTAGTCTGGCTCATAGGATGTAGACTGTTGGTATAAGCCTGTCATTGGCTGCCTATGTCAGACCGTAATACATTTCTTGGGTGTTACAGTTTTCAAAACCCCTGTCGCTACGTGAAACAAGTCTCCCATCGCCAGAGCTATCTCCACACTTAGTTTTAGGGCTGTGCGTAAAACAACAACAACAACAACAATCTCCGAGCTAGCAACCTACACTCTAACACATCTGTTATTGTTTTCTGTGGTGTTTCCTTTTGTGGGGATATAGTCATTTTAATACAAGGGCTCAACTCCCCATGTGCGAATGTTCCACCAAAACAAGTTCCCTTCTGACACTATTTTGCAAAATCACTGTCACTGTGTCCCAGGCTAAGCCCTGTCCAAGACGATTGTGATCGCTTTAAAGAAACACAAACAACCCAGAATATTTTTTCCCCTTCGTGCAGAATTATGATGGGTTCAGCCAGAGCTTTCTCCAGCAATGGAACAGCGCAACATAGGTTGCTATGGGAGACTAATGCAGTATAGACTCAAATGCACATGGAAAAGTTATTAAGCCTAAACAGCTGATTCATCTGCCGTAAACCTCAAGTTAAGGAGGATAAAATAAGGAGAAATCTAAGTAAAGAGAGTGTGAGAGAAAAAAAAGGGATAGAAGGAAGGTACAGGCAGAGAAGAGTGGACACGACTGCTGAAGACATTAAAGGTTGAGAGGAAGGTCACACTGGTGATGGCAACTGTAACTCAGCAGTGAGGACTGTGTTGCTCACATGTGCAGATATGTGCATAACTTTACATGACTGCAATGGATGTTCTTGAACACAAAATGCATAATGTATATGCATGCACATGCACACAGCACCACTACATACAAACATGCTCACATTCACACCAAACATCACTTTCAGATCTATAGCTTGAGGAGGACGGTGAAAGAAAGCAGCCTTTCCAAGTCGATTAGTTTGGCCAAGATTTACCATTCATTCCGTCTTTCTTTCATTCATCTACTAATTCCTCTATTTCTCTGTCATTTCATTCAGATGTTCCCAGAGCTTGTTCTTGTCCATGGGAGACTGATGTCTTGTTGGGGATTATGGCAAAGTGCCACATCTTTTTATCCATTTACATCTTGTTTTGGGGTTTGCATAGCGCTTTGCCTATTTTCTCAGTTTGGGAGTCTGTGTATGGAATGCATGTGAGTGTGTTTGCTCTGTTTATGTGTCTGTGTGTTGAATCTCGATCGCGCTGTTTGTCTGAGAACGCCGTTACCACAGCACCTAACCCCCCCTGCGCTGGTATTTACTCCCCCCAGCCCCCCATATCTGTTCTTGTGTGTTTGCCATTGCCACGTCTTGTTCACAACCTCCCCACTTCTTCCTATTTTACCCTTGGGGAGGAACACAGAACAAGGGTGAGAAGGTTGCCCAGTTCCCACCTTTGGGCTCTCACACTCCCACAGAAAACACACCCGCGCTCCAACACACTCTCACCACATGCACGGTGTCTCGCTCCATTGTCTGATTTGCATATGAGCCCAAGTAGTTCATTAATGCACAGACATACTGTGGAATTGTTCGAGGCGCTAAGATGGGGAACCCCCTAAACTCCACTGTTATTGTGTTGGAGGTTTTCTGGTTTCTGGATCTCCGTCCTGCTGCTTGCCTCTTTAAAGACCAAAACACCGGCACTTGAACCCCGCTGGACACCACTCAGACCCCTTGAACACCACTCACCTACCCCCTCCTTCCCCCTTGCCACCTCTTAAGGGAACTCCCTCTACCCATCGCTTTCTGAGACCTTGTTCACACTAATGTGGATGCATTTAAAATGACATGTCTGCCTCTCCAGTTGAGCCTTCTGTGCACACTAAGGTGGGGCTTTTCACACTTCAGTTATTTTCGGAAATACTTGGGTAAATATGAACTTGAATTATATAAAGAAAATATTAAAAGGGCTGATATGAAATTGTCAGCTTGTAAACGCTACACAAACACTTCTCTAAGCAAAATCCAACTCCCTCTCACCTCCAACTCTATGTTATTGCTATTTTGTGTTTCAATGTGACCTAGTACAGGTGTTGTCATCAATGATTTTTTCGTGTTTCTGCTGTCAGCAACAGCTTGACTGTAAAACGGGGATTTGGATAGAGGGCTCAGTATGGCAGCAAAGGGATTCCTGTGGTGGTTTGCAGGTAGCATTTATGACTTCCATTCAAATCAATGCATTATACTTGTGTGGACCACTGCTGAAAACACTGTGTGCAAGGTAGGGTCAATTCGTTATTCTATCAGGGCTGCACAGTGCGCAAACAAGGTAGTGCATTTGCAATACGAATTGCAATTTTAGTGGGAGTGGTCATTTTTGCATTTCATCCACAGTGAAAAAAGAATGACGATGATATGATTTTACCTGAGGTTTTTACCAAACAAGTACGTGAGCTTATGTATGGAATATGATTTGTAGGATGAGGCATCTCTGTTGCACCACAATACAGGTCCTGCAATATGGATACTGTACTTGGTCTTATTGTGATTCATATATTAATTCAATTGATTGTGCAGCCATAGGTTCTAATGTTTCTGTGTCAATATGTTAGACATGACCTGACTTTCAGAAAAAGCTTAGATTGCCTTGCTCAGCTCAAAATGCTGAGAGGAATTTTAAAAACGTCTGTTTTGAAACCAGTTTTCTCTCTGTGGAATTCTCATGATTGTTCTTACAGTACTCTCATTCCCTGAGGAGCAATAGAAGTGCATTGTTTATGTAACTGACACCAGCAGCATTGTGAAAGGCTTTTTATGATGACTCGACATAGTGTTCATAGATATTCTGGAGAGTTTTTTAAAACAAGTGGCAAGGTAACACTTTTTAAAGACTCTACCTGCGCGGCTCTTTTGTCTGTCCTGTCCCCTTGTGTCCTCCTGCTGCATGCGTGTCAGGGATTCGGCTATGTAAGGCTACATTCTTAAGAGCGGACTGACGCTTATCTGTGTTTCCAATTTAAAGTTTCTGAATCGAGGAGGAAAGTCTCTTCTGCCAGGTCACATCTCCGCATGCTCATCGGAACAGCTCCATGTGTGATGGGTTTTAAACTTCTTAGCAATGCCAAAGCCTGGACATGGTCCTGTAGAGCAGCCTTAAAGGGTCCTAGAAGACTTGGAGTCCAGCCAGGAACAGGGG